ACTATCATGTGAACAATTTTACCAAAGAAGAGTAAATTCCTATAAAAGAAAAAAATTCCAGTACAGTTCATATCTAGTTCCAAATGATTCTACCAAACTAGAGAAAGTCCTAAAGAGAAGAGTGAACAGTGAACAAAAGAAACAAAAACAATGAAGCAGGGCCCTCCCTTGGTGGGGCACTGAGTTAAAGCTCAACACTATGAAGCTAGCCTCAGCTGCTTCAGCACGAGTTCGATCCCCAGCCAGGGAGCTGACCCACATGGCACATCGACCTCTCCTGACCCGCCTGCTGCTCCCCTCATCAGTATATTTCAGTAGATCTTGCCTGTTCTACTCCCCACTTTGTCTCTGATGATTCTTCTCACCGCCCCTGAACCTCTGACCCTATTTCAGTTCTATATGCATAATAAATAAATCTTAAAAAAAAAAAAAAACAACAACCACAATGAAGCAGGATTTGTGGATAAAAGAAATCTTTAATTGTGTAGAGATCTTTGCACCTAAGAGAGATTTCAATTTTTGGTTTCAGTTTAAAAAGTTTTAGGAACAAAGAAGAACAGAATTTAAAATTTTTCTATTTAAGCAAGTAGCAAAAAGATGGAGTGCCTCAACTTTTAGCCCCCATGAGATATCACTGGTAGAAACTGGGTCTCTTGGCCCTCCCTGGTGGCACAATGGGTTAAAGCACAGCTCTGTGAAGCTGGCCATCCCAGCTTAGGTGCAAGTTTGATCTCTGGTCCTGGAGGTGACCCATATAGCACAGCAGACCTCTCCTGTCTTGCCCACTGCTCCCCTCAGCAGTGTATTTCAGTAGATCTTGCCTGTTCTGCTCCCCACTCTGTCTCTGGTGAATCCTCTCACCGTCCCTGCATCTCTGGCAAAAATAAATAAATAAATAAATCTTTTTTTTTTTTTTAAAGGAAACTGGATCTCTTCTGCCAACTTGTTCATGACTTCCTTACCTTTTAAATTTCTACATTTGACAGTATTTTAAGATTTCTGTCTGCTTAAGTTTTCCTATGTCTATGGCACCTCCGTCCTTATTCTCATGATGGCTTCAAATTTCCTCCTTTATTCAAAATACATCACTCAATGAACTCAACTCTTTCCTCAGTCAACCTTTTATATTATTTACTCAGAATACTTTTGTAAGGAATTTGTTTGTGTGTTATTTACCTTTGTACTTTGAGTGCTTAGCACTTTGCCAGACATAGAGCAAAAGTATTTCTTGACCCTAGGCAGCAGGGGTAATCAGTCACAGCATCTGCCACAGGTTAACTGACAATCATCACTTACACGGTACAAGTTTTTAAAAACTGTCTCTGAAATTAAAAAAGAAATTGAAGGAAATTGTGCAAGACAAAGAAAGAAAACTTCCCAAGGCTAAAAGATGAAAATTTGCACACAACTTGGAACTGTGAATGGAAAAGAAATAAGTTACAACTATTTCTTGATATTATGAAAGGTCTTGTGTAATGGTGCGTAAGAAGCTTAAACAATCATTGTATGTGGTAATACAAAGTGTGTATTATACACTGGCAAAAGACAGTACAATGAAGTGGTTTAGAGTATGTGCTTGGGAACCAGATTTCAAAGTTCATATTCCAGGTCTGCCACTTGTTCCAAGCTGCATGACCCTAAGTGGGCTACCTCTGTTTCTGTTGCAAACCCACTGAGAGGTGTGCTGACTGCTACATTCGCTCGTCACCCCATGTAGGACACTTGGAAAAACTGAAGCAGAAGCCTGGGGTCTGAAGTCCAAAGTCTATTCATTAGGACTGCCCATGGGTATATATAGGGTCTGTAGGTGCAGGGAAAAACGTGAACTGTGCCCCACGGAAAGGGTAGGGTGCATGTTTCTACTGGGCCTGGGGCTTCTTGTAGCTTCTACTTGAAACAAAATAGTGGGCTGCAGCTATTTGCAGGACAGAGTGCACTGTGTTCTGCTGACTTGTTTATTGGCCTTACTGGGGAGTGTGCTCACCCATGCACAACATTACCCAGGGCAAACAGGTGCACTTGAGGTCCTGCAGAGTTAGCCACGTGTTTCTATAGTTTTATCATTTGTAAAACATACATTCTACTAATGCTTCCTTCATAGGACTATTATGATAATTAGAGGAGTTAATAAAAATCAAGCACTTAAAAAATGTGTGGTATATAAAAAGGACTATGTTGCTATTTATGTTGTTGTTATTGCTGTTGTAATTCCTCTTCTTAAGCGTGCATCATTACAAAAGAAAGAAAAGTGAAGATTGAGTCTAAATTCACATAGGTCAATGTGGATTAAAATGGCAACGTGGCTTATTCATTATTAATTAAGAAACTGGCCTCCCTGGTGGCTCAAGGGGTTGTCTCAGCACTATGAAGCTACCTGCAGCCACTGTAGCACGAGTTGAATCCCCAGCCAGGGAGCTGAGTCACATAGTACAGCATATCTCTCTTGTCTCACCTTCTGCTCCCTTCAGCAGTGTATTTCAGTCCATCTGCTCCCCACTCTGTCTCTGGTGAATCCTCTCAACCCCTCAATGTCGAGCCTACACCCCAGCCTTTGTATGCATAAATAAATAAAATAAGTCTTAAAAATAAATAAAGCTTAGCCCTACATTTTTTTTTTAAAGATTTATTTATTTGTACATACAGAACTGGGGCACAGGCCAGAGGCTCAGGGGCGGCGAGAGGGTTCACCAGAGACAGAATGGGGAACAGAACAGGCAGATCGACAAAGTACACTGCTGAGGGGAGCAGCGGGCGGGTCAGGAGAGGTCTGCCGCGCCATGTGGTCACCTCCGGAGCAGGCGGGGATCGAACTCATGCGGAAGCAGCTTCAGCTTCTCAGTGCTGTGCTTTAACCCGCTGCGCCACCAGGGAGGGCCAGCCCTACATTTTTTTTAAAAAGAAACCCTTAAAACTCTTTGCTCTGAGATTAAACCAGTAAGAGAGGATGTCACATATATTTCTAACACTTGATCTCCCACTTCCCCCTTCTGTGTTATGTCCATTCCAATTCGGGGGATTTTTTTTTTTTTATTAGCTAAGTACATAAAGATTCTTTTGAAATACATTTTGGGAATCATATAATAATTTTAAGAACATAAAGCCAGACAGTTTCTTTATTGCTTGCTGTTGAACTCATATACCCATTGGAGTTCTCAATTTAGCGGAGTTTGAAATACAAGTTTCCAAATCTTCATCTAACAGACTTTTGTGAAAAGACTTTCATAATCCTTATTTGAATTTATATTAGCATACATTACATAATATGTAATTCCTAATTCTGAGATAGCCTGCCCTTCAGATTTCCAGACATGTTAGATATGAGAGTTTCCATACTTTTAGTACTTACAGCTCTTCCTTTGTTTTTGTTTCCCCTTTTCTTCTTATTTGATAAGAACACTTCCATCTTCTTCACTAGGCAGACTCCTTATACTATAATTAATTCAACAAACAAGTGATGATAATTTATTCTGTGAATGGATGAACACTTACAAAGGCAGTTTCCATGTCTGTGAAGTTTTCACAATTACAACAATGCCAAATAATGTGCATTGCACATAAAGGGAAACCTTAAACTATTTGGCCTTATATTGAAGCAGGAGAGTATAGTAGAACCAGCATAACTTTTAGATCTGTGCTCAAATGCCAGATTTTTCTAACTATTATCTATATATAATCTACAAGTTGCTTAGCAAATTCATTTTTTTGTAAATGGAGAGAATATCTATTTTATGATTATGAAACTTTAGCAAGATAATAGTGTATTAAAACTCCTACTAAATGCATTATATGCTACAGGGGTTACATTACAACACAAGACTTTAAAAATTGATTATCGTTCCCATTCTTAAGAAATTTCCACATAAGCTGTATCTGAGAATATTATGGATATTCCAAAAGAGAGAGATAGGTGTTTAAGATAATCTGGAAAGGAGATTGCATATGAAATGATGGTTGAAGAATTGTTAGGATATCAACAATTAAAATGGGTAGGCATATTCAGGTTAAACAAAGAGAACATAAGCAGGGAGTGTAGAATGGTACTGTAATTGAAAAAAAAAGATTAATAATTTGGCTATAATGTGGGGGTGACACAGGAAAATAGTGAGAGATATGCAACAATTTAAAAAATGGGAGTGGGGTGGGGCTATATTGGTGGTGTCAGTTTCTTTAATCCAGTAGGCAGTGAGCAACTCCTGATGCTTTGGGAGCAGGCCTATAGAATAATTGTATTGGAAGGTGGAAACGCCTAAAAGTGGAGAGACCAGTTAGGAAAGGCTATTGCACTTTCAGGTAAGAGGTAACTAAGTAATAAAAGAAGATGAAGACACTGCAGACAAGACAGAAGACAGGCTCATTTGAGAAAGAGCAGGCAATGTATGACTAGTGCTGCAGAAAGACAGACTAGTGACTGGAACTACACCCTTTACATTAAATGGGTAAGTCACAGAAAGGTGTCGGTTTATATTGGGGATATGGATCAGTGAGGTTTAGGTTGTTCCTTTTTTATATGCCTCTTATTCAGGGCCTCTTCCACTTCCATCTCTCTCCACTTAATACCGAGCTTTCTCTTGGCAGCACGACCCTACGCTTATCTTAACTAGCCCCCCTCCCACCCTCCCTCCCGCATCTTTCTACCGCTTCGCGTTGTATTCTCACAGCCAAGGTGACCACAGGTCAGACCCTGGGCCGTAGGACACCCCACCCGCCAGATCTCCTATCGCCTTCGCCTAGGCAGCTTCCACGCTTGCACCCCCTTCGCTCTTGGACCAATCGGCAGGCCCCAATGCTGGAACTCGATTAGCTATTGGTTGGCCGAACCATGGTGAGAGATGGTGCGGTGCCCGATCTCCGCAGCGGTGAGAGCTGTGGGCGGTTGTTAAGGTGACCGTTCGTGACGTAGCGCCGTCAGGCAAGCAGACCCCAGATGATTGGCTAGGCGATCGGACGATCCTTTCTTATTGGCCGTAGGCTAGCCCTGCTCTGAGCGTGCGTAAGCCGAGGGTTCCTTCCGCTCCGCGTCTCCGTTGACTGGAGACTGGCGGAGCGCTGGCTCCCAGGTTCGGTGGCCTCTAGTGAGATCCGGAGGTGAGGCGGGAGGTGGCCGCGAAGGGGGGTAAGAGAGGGATCGTTGAACGGGGCAGCGGAGCGTGATAAGGGCCATTTTGCTGGCCATTCCTGAGGCTCGCGTGCCATGGGAAGGGGCCAGCGGGCGGCTTCCGCTGACCTGGCGGGAGCGACGGTGGTGACTCTTGCTGGAGTGGCGGCCGCGCCCCACGGGGACTGAGAGGAAATGTCCTTGAGGCCCGTGCGGCCGAGCGCCCGCCGCGCCACTGTCGCGGGAGCCAAGGGCCGGGACGGGCCTTAGGAGCGAGCGGCTGGCCGGCCTCTTCGTGACTGCGGTCACCATCGGGAGCCCGGCGGGGCGTAGTCGCCTTAGTACGCTCTGTCCGGAGCCGACGTGCTGACAGTGCATTCGTGATTATCCGGGCGCAAAGAGCCAAGCAGGGTGATCTCGGAGGCCCCACGATTCGAGGGATGTGGGGCGGCCCTGCCAGTATCTTGCGGGAGGATGCGGGAAGGTCTTTCCGCTGCAGGGTTCACGCCCAGGCGCTGCAGTTCCCCGGCACCTTTCTTTAAAAGACACAGCCAAGATGCGGTTAATTTATTCAGCTATGAAAAAACCGTGGATCTGCATAGGTCCGGTTATTTCCAGGAAAATGGGCCGAGAGGATGCGGAACCCAATAATGTAGGGACTTAATGCATTCTCATTCATTCTCCCGTTCCCTCCTCCTCCCTTCCTCCCTCGTTAAAGGGTTTTTTTTTTTTTTTTTCTTAAATGAATGCAGTTTCCTTTTTTTGATGTCCTCTAGGTCCAAACCTAAAGGTCTGCCGGAATTGTTTGCTTTGGGTTAGGAAAAACATACACTGGAAGTTTTAATGTAGAACAGTGGGTTTCTTGAGTAGGAGAAGGTAGATGTTCTCCGCCTAATAAATGGTCATTAAAATATTTCAGCCTTTCAGTGCATGCCGCCTTAGTCCTGGTTCTGAAAAGTCACAGGAAACATTTGTTTGTGGCCCATACAAAATAACTGTGCTTCTTACAATGTACAGAATGTATTTTGTTTATTTTCCTGTGACTTTAACTTTCCTTTCCATGCGTTAAAAGACACTTATGATTTAAGGGTAATAACCAAGGCCTGGAGTGTACTTTGGGAGTAGGCTGGATTTTGTGGGTCAGCTTTGTTTTAGTGTCATTCCAGAAGTTATGAGAAACTGGGCAGTAAGGATAAATGGGAATTAGTAACATTATTTTGTTTAAAAGTGCTTTAACATGGAAAGTGTAGTGTATATGAAGTGAAAATTTGAAATGTAGTTTTTGTACACTCACTTCCATTTTCTACTCATGATGTGATCTAGCTTCCACACCTTTATCTGCAACTTTATCTGTATCTATTTTGGGTGACCTATATGAAATTGCTGATGGTTAAAATTCAGTTGATTTTTACCTACAAATAATAGCGTTTTCATATGGTTCCACTTAATATTTGACTTTGTCAAAGAATTTTGCAGATCTAGTATTATAAGTACATGAAGAAACCTGTGATTTAGAAACTGTTAAGATGTAATAGAATTGGATATTGAATCAAAGTGTCCTGATTGCCAATGTTAAGAATTTTTTTTTTCCTGTAAAGATACCACATTGACCAGCACAACACTAGGTCGGGTCAGGATTAAAAGTGACTCAGTGTAAGACATGGTTCTTTCCTTCAAAGAGACAAAACACACACAGCAATTAATTTGAGAACAGTGTAAGATAGTGTATAATCAAATACTGGAATGTAGCACAGAAGGAGTGTTGAGTGGGAGGGAAGAATTAGAGTAGGATGCCAAAGCATCCTCTTCCGCAATTGACCAGGGTAGGTGGTGCTCTCTAGCAAATTGGACTCCAATTTGAAAATTCCATTCAATTTAAATTAGCTGTTCTTTTAGAGACTGAAATATTTGTGCCTTTCAAAGCAAGGCATATGTTGTCCATTAACTCTTCTTTTTTTAAGTAAAATTAATTTTATTGCAACATGGTATACTGTTTGGAATTTGAGTATGCTGCTGGTGTCACTTGGAACTGCTGATGAAGGTGGAAGATTGGATTCTGTGGCATTTAAATGTTTTTGCGTAAGCACGGGAAAATGGGGAGGATGCTTATGAGAAAATAAGATTGTGTACAGTCATGGTTACTTTTGACACACCTTTATACTCAGTTTGTATTTCCAAATAAAATAGGTGAGGTTCTCTGTCTTTGGGGATGGCTCAGGGATCATGTGTAATTCTTCCCCTGAATGTTGCAAAGATGACTTTACAACCTAGGAAAGAAGAGTTGACAAGTGATCATGAGCTATTTGAGGGAAAACATAATGTGTCTGATAAATAATTATGGGTTAAAATGCTAAACTCATTTGTGATTAGTTTGGGGTTCCTTGCTACTAGGAACTCAGATTTTATTCCAACTGAATTAACATTTTAATATGGAAGAAATATGTTGGCTTGATAAGCAGTAATTTAAATTGAGGGGTGGTGATGGTAGGAAGTATTAGAAATCATTTTGACCAAATTTAAAAACATTTTTAGCTTTAAAATGTTTTTAGTTCTTTCATTTTCTGGAAATTAATACTAGTTGAGCTTTAGACCAGTTTGGACTGATTTGTTTTAAATGTAAGGAAGAAGTTATATGATAGAAGATAATCATTAAAATCTAGCCTTTTGAGGCTTTTGGTTGGAGTAAACAGTCATTTTATTGATTTTCCAGGATAGTAAAAAAAAATGTAGCCTCTTCCCTAACCCATCTACCTACCCTCTTTCAGTATCTTCCCCAAACATTCTGATCTGCATTTACTTAATTAGTGGGTAAAAAGAGAAGGGTTATATATCCATATCTAGCTTACTTTTTTCTTAAAGTGTGTATAACAATATTTATTCAGAAAGTAGTGGTCTTTTAATAGTAGTGAATTTTTTCTTTTATTGAAGTTGCATTAATGTTTCAGATGTGTGTAATACTCTACTTTTTTTAATTAGGCAGGTATTTGTTAAGGAACTGCTGGAAGGTAAAATGATGAGTAAGACAGGATAAAAGATTGGAAAAAGCATGAATATACATAGGCATGCCATGTTTATATATCTCAGTAACCGCTGGCCTTTTAATACTAAGACTCACAGTAAGGAATACATGTTAGGGCCCTCCCTGCTGGCACAATGGGTTAAAGCACAGCACTAAGAAGCTAAAGCCACTTCAGCATGAGTTCACTCCTGGAGATTACCCACATGGCAAGGCAGACCTCTCCTGACCAGCCTGCTGCCCTGACCACCCGCTTCTCCCCTCAGCATTGTACTTCATCAGTCCGCCTGTTCTGCTCCCCACTCTGACTCTAGTGAATCCTCTTACCACCCCTGCACCTCTGGCCTGTACCCAGTTCTGTATGCATATTTATATTTTTTTTAAAAAAGAAAAGAAATACATGTTATGTTTATGTTGAAAACTGGTACTCATGCTTATGTAGGTAGTTTTATAAAACTTAAAATGTTAAAAAATTATAATAAATACATATCTTTCCCACAGCAGTCTTTTCTGTTTTATTTTTAAAACGTTTGTTCTTCTTCAGAATTGATTTTATTTTTGTAATTGAGCCAGTAAAGGAGATGATATTTTCTAATTGTTTTTAGTTCCTAAATGCTACTCTTACACACACACCCTTTAGATTAATACATTTTTCCCCCTTAATTTGCTGCCTTTTTATTTTCAGTCTTCAATAAATAAATCACTTTCTTAGTTTTAACCATAGTGAGGGAGGGTCATTTGAATTCTGCCAGTGTGTCAATCAGTGGGCTTATTTTTAAAATCTTAATTTTAACTTGATTTTGTAGGTAATTAATATACTTTATCAAAAGCATTAATTTTAGGGTAAGAAATAAGACTTGTATGTTCCTATTTAAAGATCAACAATTATATCAAATTTTTTAAAATCAGAATATCAAAATTATTACATAATCAGGAAAATAGAAACTTAGATGGTAGTCAAAGATTGAAATTACTTGTAAGTTCTGTTTGGAATTTTCAATTATAGACATCTAGTTTGGCCAGTCACTCTCTTCTTCCACTACTGGTTTATCATTTTGATTGGCTATAAAAGTTGGGGAGAAACTTTCTTCTGGGGATAGTAATATTGGAAAAGTTCATTAAATGTCATTTTGCCATTTACAGTATGTCAGATGGAATGAAAATGTAAATTAGGGCCCTTGAAGAGCTTTATAAACTAAGATAATGCTTTACAGGAAGACACTCAACAAATAGATTCTTTGACATTTACTTTTGTTTAATCAGAACGTGGAGAATAAAGAAGGTGCTTATGTGCATGTTATAGAAGGTAATTAGGAAATAATTTTTTTCACTTATATTCTCCCTAGCTCAGATATCAAGGACTCAAGATAATTACTTGGTTTGATCTTAAATGTTTCAATTCATACAACTGTGAGAAATGCTAACTTTAAGTTGGTTGCTAGTGACTAGTCAGGAGACTTAGGTATTGTGAGTAAAAAGTAATGAGTGCTTTTAATTTTATAATTACTTTCCATAATTACAAGGAACACTAGCAAATGGTATTATTCACATGTACAAGGCACAGTGCGTATTACAAAGCAGGGTTTACAACAGTCTGTTCCTTATAATCATTTTCTAAGTATACTGTGAGCCTTATACTTACTTAGTGCTCATGCTTGATATTTCTTTCAGGGTCCAAGAATTCTGTAACTACAATGTTGTCAAGACTTTTCCGAATGCATGGCCTCTTTGTGGCCTCCCACCCCTGGGAAGTCATAGTGGGGACAGTGACACTGACCATCTGTATGATGTCCATGAACATGTTTACTGGTAACGATAAGATCTGTGGTTGGAATTATGAGTGTCCAAAGTTTGAAGAGGTTAGTGAAATTAATTTGATACTGACTAAAGTAAATTACTTTTTCAATTTCTAAAGAATATCTTCTTTGAGAAGCCATGTAATAAAAAAAGTTATGAGTAAAATCTTTATTTTAGCCTTCATGAATTTACTTCAGATTTACAATTACTTTAGAGTAGAACGACTCTAGAGATACTTTCCATTTGCTTTTTCTACACAAATATAATTCATTTAACTTGAGAAATAAGTTTTGTACATGACTGATAGTGAAAAATGACTGATTTAAAATTGGATTATTGATGTGAATGTTTAATATTTGACTTATTGTACCTACATGTATATTATGATAATATGTAAACTAATCATATATACAAATAAAATTCTAATTTTTGATTAATTACTGGAAAGGTAAAACTATGGAAATTTCTTTTCTGTCTTCCCAATAGGATGTTTTGAGCAGTGACATAATAATTCTGACAATAACACGATGCATAGCTATCCTGTATATTTACTTCCAGTTTCAGAATTTACGTCAACTTGGATCAAAATACATTTTGGGTAATCATTTTATGCATTTAATTTGATAAAAATTTTATGCATTTTATTATGAAATTTGATGTTCTATTCACATTTTTTACTTGCTGTAGAAGTACACCTGTTTATTTAAATCACATATGGGAATGTGTGTTGCTTCAACTGTACTGCATGCATTTAATAGTTTCCTTTCATAGTATTGGGAAATTAAGCATTTTGACATTGGAGACCTTAATAATCTGGAGAGAATAATGTTTGCGAATATTATATGGGTGATATATTACTATTTGTGTAATAAGTGATGACTTTTTTCAATTTGTTGAATTTTGTCATTTTAGGAATTGCTGGCCTCTTCACAATTTTCTCGAGTTTTGTATTCAGCACAGTTGTCATTCATTTCTTAGATAAAGAGCTGACGGGCTTGAAGTGAGTATTTAAAGCCAAAATATATTTAATGTTGTTTTTAGTATGTATTAACATTTTGGTATATATCTTTCCCACTGTTTTTATACAAAACTGAGATTGTAATGTATATACACCACTTTTTAGCTACCTTATGCCTAATAACATATCAACATCTTTTCATATCCTTAGTTTTAAGCTAAATTATTTGTATTGGCTGTCTAGTTTTCCTTGATTGAATAATAGTTTCGTAGTTCATTTACTTGTCCTCAAGAATTGGATTGCTATTTAATTTCTTCCTTTAATAATAATATTGTGATCAATATTATAGTGTAGCTGATTTTTTGTTCATCATTTTCTTAGAATATGTTCCTAGGAGTGAAACAGTGGCTGTTCTTAGAGCTTTGATTGCTCTTACTGCCAGTTTATAGTAGGTTTTTTTAGTTTACTTAGTTTTCCACAAATAGTGATTACTGAAAAAAAACTTACTGTAAAATTATTGAAAGGTGTTTCTGTAAATGTAAACTTATTTCTATTTTTGACATTGAAGTATTTTAAACAATTATTTGGGCAACTAATGTGTTTAGCTTTGAGGATACCAAAGTTGATTAGAGATGCACATGCTCAAGACCTATGCAATGCGTGGAGGGGTATTTTTTTCTTAGAAAGAATTTTGCAAGCCATATTTTTTCCTCTGTTAAGTACAATTGACCATCTTGTTTTTTTTCTTCTAGTGAAGCTTTGCCCTTTTTCTTACTTTTGATCGACCTTTCCAGAGCAAGTGCACTAGCAAAATTTGCCCTCAGTTCCAACTCACAGGTAAATATTATTTTTAGGACACAAACACATTATTTTTTTTCAGTTTTTACATTAATAGATTAGTAGAGCTTCTTCATTCTCTGAGACTTAGGAATTTTCCACAATTTTAAGTTTAATCGACAAATCCTAAAATTGGTTTTTCTAAGTGCTCTAGAAACTGTCCCATTTATCTAACAACCCAGCTATAATTCCATATTCTGGAATTTGGAATCTTCCCCATTTTCCTTTTGAAAGTTTCAAAAATTGGGATAATATAATTTTGGATAAGAGTGCAGCATAAACAAATCAGAGAGCAGAACAGGGTACAATGGAAGAGGGTCTCATGGTAGATTTATTTCTGAACCTCTTGAATAGCACAAGTTTTATTTCCCACCTTAAGTTTTATCTTGATATCATTAGTCACTGTAAGGAACCTAACATTTTTAACAAGTTGAATCAGAGAATCTGAACATAAAAATAGCAGGTACTGCTTTTATTTATGTTTGACAGATACCTGTGATCATTTGAGCATGCGGACAGGGTATGACTTAGGTTTCATAATACTAACTTGGTCTCAAAAAATTTGCAACTAAGGGCTTCTGTCAATGGTAGCCAAAATATACAATGTAGGATTTAATTATGTAGGATTTAAATAACAGGATTAATGAACATCTCAAAGAAATCTTGAAAAATATCACATTCAGTAGAAAGGGAAAGAAGGGTACTATGTATGTTCTCCCTTCTTCTTCACCCCCCTCACCCCATGTGGCACATCTGTTAGTCTATTCATACTATAAGTTTTGTTCTTTACATGGTAAATTAGATTTTAGTATAAGCCCTAAGGTGTTCTTTAACATTTATAATGTTCTTACTGTTTTAGGATGAAGTAAGGGAAAATATTGCTCGTGGAATGGCAATTTTAGGTCCCACATTCACCCTTGATGCTCTTGTAGAATGCCTTGTGATTGGAGTTGGTACCATGTCAGGTGTGTGAGCAGTTTTTTTTTTTTTTTTTTAATAAAGAAAGGGTCTCATAAGGACAGATTTAACACATATTTAGCTAAGAAATGACTCTCTGGACAAATAACAAATAGAAGGGGAAAAGTCTTAACTCCCTGGAAGTGTATAGAATGTTGCTGTTTCATAGTGTGGTAGTGAAGTGGCACAGAGGAATTCTCCTGGGCAGAGTAAGGAAAATGCCTCAACAGATTCAACAACGGCAGTTACTGTTGAGCACAGGAGCTAGTAGGAGCCAAGCTGCAAAAGCATGGGGCAAGTATAGGTGCTATACTGGGCAACTGTTTAAGCTGAAGGTTGTTCAGAATATTTTTGTGATTGTAATTTTTGTATTCTCTTGAATATCTACATTAAAGAGTAGGTGCTCAAGCCTTTTTCTATTTAGTCAAATGATCTACAACTATTCGAAAATAAGACAAAATGTTGGGCTTTTAATTATTTTTCTAGGTAGCAGTTTTATGGGAAAAGTCACTATATTGAAGTACAGTTTAATATTTAATATAAGTAACATCAAAAATGTTTTATATTCAAGTTTGCATATGAAGTGAAAGAACGGGGTTTAGTAATAGGGTTAGAATAGGGTTAAGGTCTTTTTCCACTCAATAATTATATTTGAGTGTCATGATATGTTAAACATTCTGTAGTGAAATATTTTTAAATTTTTAATCTTAAGTTATCTTTTTGCATTATGTCATTTTCCAAGCAAATCAATGAAATAATCAAAATTACAAGTTTATCAATAGACACCATAGAGGTTACAGTGAAATTAGAGTTCAGTAATAAGATGAAATGTTTGTTATGACACTGTATCAGTAATGGCATAATTGACAGTGTATTTTACTTTGGTAAAAAGTCCTTGGTCTTCAGGTGAATTGCTTTTGTGATACAAGTGGAATTAAATCAGTAGTGAAACTATGGGATATTGACTCTATAGGAGTGGCCTGTTCTTGGTAACCTTATCTCAAAACAAGAGTATACCATTTGATAAAAGGCAATTATTACATGTATTTTAAACACAAATGAGGGAACTCAGGAAGTGGGAGAAGACTAGGTCTGTGCCCTTGGGAAGTTACTCCTGCTCTGCTCAGAGGCGTAGCATCACCTTTGAGTTTTGGGTTTTGTTTTTTTTTTTTTTTTAAGGTAAATGGCAAAGAGCTCACTATATAATATTTTCATTTATCTGTCCACTTATGGGAAGAATCTTTGTGATGTATGTAACATGAAAAATACATGTACTTTATTAATAATACATTCAAATTTTTCTGTAACCAGGGGTGCGTCAACTTGAGATTATGTGCTGTTTTGGCTGTATGTCAGTTCTTGCCAACTACTTTGTGTTCATGACTTTCTTCCCAGCTTGTGTGTCCTTGGTTTTAGAGGTAAGGGCAGTTCTCACTTATCGCCTTAGAAGAATATTTGTCATTACATCATTTAACCTAAATAAGATCAATACCTACTAACATAACATTGACTTTCACTTTGTAGCTTTCTCGAGAAAGCCGTGAGGGTCGTCCAATTTGGCAGCTCAGTCATTTTGCCCGTGTTTTAGAAGAAGAAGAAAATAAACCAAATCCTGTTACTCAGAGAGTTAAAATGATTATGGTAATTACATAATTTTCTTCTCCCTTCAGCATCCTTGGTTTCATCATCATACTCTGCTTTTCATTTTGGGTTTTGTTTTTTCTCATTGTAAAACTTTTCATCCTTTCACTGTTGTCTTTTTTTCCTTACTGTTCCTCATTTCTTTAAGGCTCCTGATTTCAGTTGTCTCACTTCCCTAAGTAGATTTTTCAGTTCCTCTACTTGATCTTTGAAGACCTGTTCTTTGGGATGTTTCAGTAGTTCAGTGGGGCGAGTCAGTGACGGCGAGTTTGGGGCTTGCTTTTTTAATTTGCAGGGGGAGGCTGTGAAAAATGATGTCTGGTTATCCAGTTGCTAAAGATGAGAAGTTTAGGTTTTAGTGCTATGCAGAGGCACATAATTTTTGCAATTTCATTTCAGTCCCTAGGTTTGGTTCTTGTTCATGCTCACAGTCGCTGGATAGCTGACCCTTCTCCTCAAAACAGTACGACGGAGAATTCTAAGGTTTCTTTAGAACTGGATGAAAATGTGTCCAAAAGAATTGAACCAAGTGTTTCCCTCTGGCAGTTTTATCTCTCCAAGTAAGTTTTTGAGACTATTTTCTTGCTTATTAATCATAGTACTCTTCACTATTAAAAGTTTGTTTTACCTTTCATATATTTCTGATTAATAACATTTTAATTTTCTTTTATTTAGAATGATCAGCATGGATATTGAACAAGTTATTACCCTTAGTTTAGCTCTTCTTCTGGCAGTCAAGTACATCTTCTTTGAACAAGCAGAGACAGAATCTACACTCTCATTGAAAAACCCCATCACATCCCCTGTAGTGACCCAAAAGAAAGTCCCAGACAATTGTTGTAGACGAGAACCTGTACAGGTCAGAAGTAACCAGAAACTTCATTCAGTGGAGGAGGAAACAAGGGCAAACAGTGAAAGAAAAGGTGATTTCTTATTCTCTGCATTCCCCATTTTCCAATTTGTCAAAAAATTGAATGTGTTTTAAATCTTATATTTGGTGTTGGAATTCTTTTGATCTCTTCAACAGCTGAGGTTATAAAACCCTTAGTGGCAGAAACTGACAGTTCAAACAAAGCTACATTTGTGGTTGGTAACTCCTCACCTGATATGTCACTGGAACTAGAGACACGAGAACCTGAAATTGAACTTCCCACAGAACCTCGGGCTAATGAAGAATGTCTACAGATACTTGGGAATGCAGAGGTGAGTAAAACAAACTGAAGCTTAATATTTTCTTAAGAAAAGTAGCTTTTTTGTTGAAGGAAGAAAGTTACAGCTATTAAGTACTACTACTAAGTTCTAGGTGCTAGGTTACATGGCTACAGGTACTGGTCTGATTTATTTGTTCCCTACAGCTTGTGAGTTAGGTGAAATTATCTCCTTATTTCAGATGAGATTTTTCTTAACTAATGTATCTAGTAAATGATAAAGCTGGAAGCCACAAGAGTAAATAATACTTTTTTTTTTTTTAGTATGACTATCATTGAGATGAGCAACTTTATAATCTCATGGGTGGTGAAGCTTAGAAAGGGTTCAACACAGAAACAAGCTTCAGAGATAGAAGTGTTTAAAGATAATTTTGATGCCCACCAGGGTGTTTATTTTCTTTTCTAAGATTTCTGAGGGCACTTTGCCTATCTCTATCTACCGCTTATCCTTGACATGAATATATATTCCATCTATAGGAGCTTAATCTGATTCTTAATTTAAGTGTATAAGTGAGTAATGGTTGTTTTCCTTTACCATCTGTTCCTTCTTTCATTTCTGTTAACATGTATACTAATATTACAGCTCTCCTGCTGTCTTCAGTTAGTAAAACATGACAGGTGAACATCAGAACTTTAACGGTGGATTTTTTTCTATGAACCTTAGTTGCAAAATTTAATGTCTTTATCTTACATTTGTTTGGCTTCATGTTTTTATGATTTTCCCATCACTACAACATTTTTAACATCTACTCAAATTGATAGCCCTCCAAAGTCCTCCTTGTATTTTAGCTTTCTTGAGAGTACTGTTTGTATTAAATGGTTTATTTATTGAAAATAATGGCAGTACATGCCTTTGTATTCTTTGTCATATCCCTCTCTGAACCTCTTCCCCTCTTTTTATCACATTTCTTTAGAAAGGTGCAAAATTCCTTAGTGATGCTGAGGTCATTCAGTTAGTCAATGCCAAGCATATCCCGGCATACAAGTTGGAGACGCTGATGGAAACCCATGAACGAGGTGTATCTATTCGCCGACAGTTACTTTCCAAAAAACTTCCAGAGCCTTCTTCTCTCCAGTATCTGCCTTACAGGGACTATAATTACTCACTGGTATGTTATTTTCTTGATTTGAGAAGGTTTCCTGTACAGCTTTTAGACTTGAAGTTTAATCTTTACCTTTTTAGTCTTTGTCCTTTTACATGTACATAGTTTTATTAAACATCTTTAATAGTATGTTAAATTTAAGGACTCATGCTTTACTTTGTTGTTCTTTACTTTTAAATGCTCTTTAAAAAGTACTGAAAGCACTAGAATTGAGTTTAAAATACTAAAAATTTCTATTAAAATAGTAAAAATTGTCCTTGAAAAATACACTAGAGAAGTAAGTTTGAAGAACTTATTAATGGAAAGGGCTGTGTATTTACAATATAGATTGTCACTGCCTTTACCTTTTAGGTGATGGGAGCTTGTTGTGAGAATGTCATTGGATACATGCCCATTCCTGTTGGAGTGGCAGGCCCTCTGTGCTTGGATGGAAAGGAATTTCAAGTTCCAATGGCAACAACAGAGGGTTGTCTTGTGGCCAGCACGAACAGAGGCTGCAGAGCAATAGGGGTAAGTTTGCATTTATGTATTTGTTTATTGTAAAATATACTCTAGACCTGCTGTGAAAAGAGATTTGAGACAGTCACAGACACATTTTGGGCAAGCAGAGGTGTCTCAGGATTAATTAAGCAGATTAACTAGGCAGAAGTGTTTCAGGATTAATATATGTGTTCCTATAATGTCCTCTCAATAGCTCGGTGGAGGTGCCAGCAGCCGAGTCCTTGCGGATGGAATGACTCGTGGCCCGGTAGTGCGGCTTCCTCGTGCTTGTGATTCAGCAGAAGTGAAGGCTTGGCTTGAGACACCTGCAGGGTTCACTGTGATAAAGGAGGCGTTCGACAGCACCAGCAGGTGTGTGTGGTCTGTACATATGATTACATTTATGTCCATCTTTTGTGATCACTAAACATAACTTAATATGTTGCCAGCCTCAGAGAATAAAATATCAACCCTAAGTCCATTCATTCAAAGTGAGTGATATTAAGGATTGTTTTGGGAGTGGGGGGCGAAGAATGTTGAATCAAATGAATATCTTCATAGAGGTAAATTGGGAAAAAAATAAAGCATGTGTTAGTAAGTTTGTATGTTGATTTTGTAAGGATTGCTTTGGTTAGAATACTACTTTACATGAGTTTTGGCTTAGAACTCCCCTCAGGCAGTATTCATGATTTAGATACATACTTTCCAATTGGTATAGAAAAATTAGATTTTTAATTTAGAAAATTTAATTTAATTTATAAGGAAGCATAATGAACACTAATGATAGCCACAGAATAGTTCAAGCTTATGCACTTGTTTGTATTGGGACTGCTCAAGTTCATGATGAAATGACTGCAGCCCTGCTTGTGGCATAGAAGAATGAGGCAGAGTTGAAATAGTATCTTATTATAATGTTTAAGTAAAGAAGAAAATACATTTAATAAGTAACCTCCATTTACTCCTTTAAATAAGGCGAATTGAGTAAACCAGATTTTAAGGTAACTTCTGTCATTTAAAAGAAAATCTTTTGTTTACAGATTTGCACGTCTACAGAAGCTTCATATAAGTATGGCTGGACGCAACCTTTATATCCGTTTCCAGTCCCGGTCAGGAGATGCCATGGGGATGAACATGATTTCCAAGGTGAGTGTGCACAGACTAATAGAATTTGCAAAAGTGATCATCCCAGAAGAGGGGAGAACTGGGTGTCAGAAATTTCTGACAGGAGTAGGGAGCAGACTTCTTTTTATTTCATGCCCTCCTATGTTTTTGAGTTTTTAACCACATACATGTTTACTTAAATGATTGAAAGATTTTTATTAAAAGGTAAATACTGATACATGTAATAATATAAATCGGACATTTATTGATTGGTGTAGTTTTGTATTTGATATATTCAATTTAGACGTGTGGCTTATAGATGTTCTGTGTCTACCTAGAAAGGCTAGTTAGAATCTCGGGGTTAGTGCTTTAAAACTGTTCCATAGGACCCTTGCTGGTGGTGCAACAGGTAAGGACGCAGCACTGCCAGCTGGTGGCAGCCACTTCAGTGCGAGCTCGATCCCCAGCCCTGGAGGTGATTCACATGGTGCGACAGACCTCTCCTGTCCCACCCACTGCTCCCCACTCTGTCTCTCACTGCCTTTCAGCCCTCTTACTGCCCCTGCACCTCTAGCCTGTACCCTAGTTCTGTATGCATAAATAAATCTTTAAAAAAAAAAAAAAGAATGGTGCTAGCTGTGGGTTTGTCGTTTAAAAAACAACTGTTCTATAAGCCTTGAAAAGCTGACTTTTAGAGACTTCAAGACTTGTATGTTAGAGGCCAAATAAGGTTTGTGTATATAATATATTTATCTTCTATAAAATGACAGAAAAGAATGTATGACTAAAGATTTTTTTTTTATGCATATAAGAACTGGGCTGTAGATCACAGGTGCTGGGGGTGAAAGGATTCACAAGAGACAGAGTGGGGAGCAGAAAAGGCTGGATTGACTGAAATATGCTGCTGAGGGAGCAGTGGGCAGGTCAGGAGAGGTCTGCTGCGCCATGTGGGTCAGCTTCCTGGCTGGGGATATAACTGGTGCCACTGTGGCTGGCAATGGCTTGATACTGCTGAGACTTTAACCCTGCAACACTAGGGAGGCCACATATTTTATTCTACTGTTACTAAATACTAAATACAAATGTAAAATGTTAGGCTAGCAGAATTTGTTTAGTGGTTTTTCTGTTTATAACCATTATTCAGAAAGACAGAGAAGGGTGACTAAAAGCATAAGCTTTAAAAATCACAATAGTGCCTCCCTTGTGGCGCAAGGGTTATACACAGGACTTTGACGCTATCTGCAGCCACTGCAGCACGGCCCCTGGCCAGGATGCTGACCCACATGGTGCAGCAGACCTCTCCTGTCTCCTGTACCCCAGTTCTTGTAATACATAAATAAGTAACTCTTTAAAAAATAGGTAAATGAAAGTCAGCAATAAACTGAAATTTATTGTGATGCCTTAGAAATTAAAAATGGAATTACTGTGATCCAGCAATTTTACCTTTGGTTATATACCCAGAAGAACTGAAATGAAAGTCTCAAAGAAATATTTACATACCCATATTCATAGCAGCATTATGCATAGTAACCAAAAGTCAGAAACCACCCTGACAGTTAAATGCATAAAGAAATTGAGTGTGCATGCACACAGGCATATTAGGCAACAATTTAATAACTAGAAGAGGAAGTTTATTACACTTTGATCATAGTTTGAGCTAATTCTCAGTGACATGAATATAAGCATTCTCACTGAATGTTTTGAAATTTCATTATATTCTCATCTGCATCTGTTTATCAATGACTGAAATCAACTTTGTTTCCAAACCTAGAAAGAAACATTAGGAATTTATACCTAACAGAAGTTGGTCAGTGTGATGGCTAATTCAATAGCTGTTAATTTTGTGCTCAGTTTCTTAAAAGTATAGTTGTGGAATTTAGAAATATTAAGACTATATTTATAGTTATTGTATTTGGAAATACTAGTCTTATATACAAATAGAGCCTTCTAATATATAAAAATAACTATATTAATGTAATTGTTATTATTGTTAATAGGGTACAGAGAAAGCACTTTCAAAGCTTCAAGAGTATTTCCCTGAACTGCAGATTTTAGCAGTTAGTGGTAACTATTGTACTGACAAGAAACCTGCTGCTATAAATTGGATAGAAGGAAGAGGAAAGTCTGTTGTTTGTGAAGCCGTCATCCCTGCTAAAGTCGTCAGAGAAGTGAGTGATTGGATGGGCATTTTATTGTATTTATGTTTAGCTAGATTAAAAAATTGGGGAAAAGAGCGTAATATAACATTCTAAAGAAAGTTTGCTAAATGGATGTATGTTTTACATTAAAGATGACTGTTATATCTTCCCTGTTTTATGTGTATGTGGCATTCATAGGAACAAACTTAATAGCCTTTTTATTGAGGACAGGGCTTACCTGGGGTCACAGCTAACCTCCCTTGTTTTCTGGAGGAAAAGATAGATCTGGGTTCTGAGAAGAAGAAATAAGACGTGCACAACTCTTTTCTAGGTGCTAAAGACCACTACAGAAGCTCTGGTTGATGTGAACATTAATAAGAATTTGGTAGGCTCTGCCATGGCCGGAAGCATTGGTGGCTACAACGCCCATGCAGCCAACATCGTCACTGCTATCTACATTGCCTGTGGACAGGTGAGGTTTCCACCTCAGTATCTCTTCTCTTTGTGCGTCTAAGTGAGAGAAATCTATTTGACATTTTTCCTTGTTATGTTTTTCAGGATGCAGCACAGAACGTTGGTAGTTCAAACTGTATCACCATCATGGAAGCATGTGGTCCCACCAATGAAGATTTGTATATCAGTTGCACCATGCCATCTATAGAAATAGGAACTGTGGGTGGTGGGACCAATCTGCTCCCTCAGCAAGCCTGTTTGCAGGTACAATGTGCCAGGCAGAATCCAGAGCCCTCAAGCCTGTTTCTGTTAGGATCCTCTGTTTATACTTGACACCACATATAACTCGCCTTTATATTTTTGTCCTTCCCTTTTTCATCCCCCTAATTCAGGATGCCCAAGTAGCCATGTCCAGGCATATGTGTAGTAAATTGAGAAAAGTAGATTAAGAGAGCATAGATCTCCACTTTGGCGTGAATGGTCTCCACTTTGAGTGAGGGGACTGCCTGCCAGGCTTGTTACGTTAACTGTGATGTATGTTGTACATTGTCAGTTCTGGCCTGTGGATCTTGGAAATGTACTTCCAGGAGAGTAATGCACCCAGGAGAGAATGGCACCGTTTTGGTGCCATTGTAGCTGCTCTTAATTTAGTTGGTCTGAGTAGAAAGTGGCTGCTTTGACTTTCAGGCTGAGTCTTCTTGTTGTCTCCCTGGATGCAGATGCTAGGTGTTCAAGGAGCGTGTAAAGACAATCCTGGGGAGAATGCCCGACAGCTTGCTCGAATTGTGTGTGGTACTGTCATGGCTGGGGAACTGTCACTGATGGCAGCACTGGCAGCAGGACATCTTGTCAAGAGTCACATGATTCACAACAGGTGAGGATTAAAGTTTTACTTAATGTTTTCCTTACACATAAAACATGCAGTTTAAAAACCTACTGTTAGGTCTGCCCTGGTGGCAAGGCAGGTTAAAGCACAACACTACAAAGCTAGTGGCAGCTGCTTAGCACAAGTTTAATCCCTGGCCAGGGCAGGGAGGTGACCCACATGGTGTAGCAGACATCGTCTCGCCTGCTGCGTTCCCTCAGCAATGTATTTCATCAATATGCCTGTTCTGCTCCCCATTGTCTCTGGTGAATCCTCTCACCACCCTTGCACCTCTGACCTGTACCCTCGTTCTGTAAATATAAATAAATACTTATTTACTTACAGGCCAGAGGTACAGGGGTGGGCCAGTGAGAAGACTCACCAGAGACAGAGCAGGGAGCAGAACAGGCAGACTGACAAAGTACACTGCTGAGGGGAGCAGGGGGCAAGACAGGAGAGGTCTGCTGTGCCATGTGGGTCACATCCCTGGCTGGGGATCAAACTTGCGCTGAACCGGCTGTGGCTTAGCTTTGCAGCACTGTGCTTGAACTTGTTTTGTCACCAGGGAGAACCCAATAAATAAATCTTTAAAAAAAAAAAAAAAAAAAGCTACTATTGAGATGCAGGTAGTCCCAAATTAAAATCTTACATTCCTGATTTTTTCTATTTTGTATTTTTCTGCCACAGGTCAAAGATTAATTTACAAGACCTTCAAGGAACTTGCACTAAGAAGGCAGCCTGAATAGTCTGACATTCTAAACTGAAATTCGGGCGTTGGGTTCTAAAGGACTAACATAAAATCTGTGAATTAAAAAGCTCGATGCAGTGTCTTGTTGAGGATGAATAGACGTGATCAGTGAGACGGCTGCTTGGTTTTGGGCTCTTTCAGAGGGTCTGAGTCCTTTCCATGCAGATTCCTCAAATCTGGAAACAGTTTAATGCTTTACATGCTGTGTTCTTTGGAAAGATCTCAACATGGATATCATGCTTTAAAGCATCACAGATGGTAATCTACAGCTCACTTCTGAAAGAATACAAGCTGGAAAATGTGTTGCCTTTGATGAAATTTTCTTTTGATGAAATGGAGTTCATGATGATCAACGTGAGATTACCCCTTCTAGCTCCCCACCCCACCCTGGGTTGAAAATGGATTTTTAAATTATACTGTAGTTGACAGAACTCCTGATTTCATAGTTAATTTATTAAGCCTGGGTTGTAGAACTTGAAGAAATAAGAGCTAATTTTATTTTTTGTAAGCTAATATTTCATTTGGTGCTGGTTTATTTTGGTTTCTTTTTTGGGTAGCCAACATTATTCTTCAGAAGGGGACTTGTTTTCTTCAAGGGAAGAATTACTCTTACTCCCAAACTACAGAATAATGTGCTGAAAGCAGTGCTAACTGGTTCTCTATCAGGAAAACAAATCACTGCATTTATACAGGCTATTCAGAGAGGCCTCTTGTCTAAATGTGTTGACTTAGATTGGCTATAACATATCTTTCAGCATAAGGCTTTAAGAAACAGTTTTCTGCTCTTAATTAGAGATGCAAGAGTATTTAATATTGTATAGATAAAGGTGACTCTGTTTATGAAGAACATACAAGCCTGTGACACCCTCAAAAATCCGAAGGTAGAGAAAACAGGTTTAAAGAAAAATACCATTTCTCTAAACCAACTTTGATTTCTTAAAAGACCAATATATTTAGCTGAGAAATCTACATAGTTTTTTTTGTAAAGAACTGTATCAAATCTGTATATGTTGTAATAAAATTTCTTATGCTAGGAGTTTATTGAAAGTGTTCAAGAAATAAAAATCAACTTGTATACTGATAAAACACTCTTAAACTTGGGCTAGAGAAAATAGTGTTCTTTAAAGTCCAGGAAACCCTGCCTTGCTATGGAGCTAATGAAAGGGAAAGTCAGTTTTCAGAGCTGGTGAGCTGCCTGTGAATGGCCCTGGAGGAATGTGCCCTGTTCCTGGGGCCAGGAGGTTGGTGACCGAAACACTCACACAGGGCTCTTGGATGGACCCATAAAAGCTCTTAGCTTTCTCAGGGTGTCAGCAGAGTTGTTGAATCTTAACCATTTTTTTTAATGTACAAGTTTTGTATAAATAATAAAGAACTCTCCGTATTTTGTATTACATCTAATGCTCCAAGTGTTGGTCTTGGACAGCTGCTATCTCACGTACAAGATGGACTCTGACACGTTCTAGTAATGCCACGGCAGCATGGAGAGCCTGAGTGATGTGTATGCAGTATTATTGTTGAAGATTGACCTTTTCTATTGTATGTAAAGCTTAAATGGCTTCTGTTGTGAGTTTTCAGCCAGTGATGACTTACCTGAACTTTTCATGGAAGTTGCAGTGAAAAATATGTGTATTCATTTTGGTGACTGTAACCGATATCCTCTTGCTGAATTAATGTTTTGTACAATTACTAAATTGTATACATTTTGTTACACTTTTTTTTTCCAGTTCTAGTAAATTATGAAAAAGAAGTTACCACGCTAAGTGTAAGCAACCTTTTTGTTGGGGTTAAGCCTGAGGCTTCAAAACTTGTGAAGTCTGGTCAGCCTTCTACCTGTGACTCGGGACAGGTATCCCGACCACCTATCATTCTCTAGTATGTTCTGCTCCATAGCATCCACAACAGGCTGGTGGTGTGTGTGTATTAAAATTCTCTTCCCTATCCTTAGTTTGATTAGTTCGATTTATCATCTCAGCTTTTCAGACACGTTTGGGTATTGGGGAGTGAGGGTTAGTGGACAGAGAGGGAACAAAGATTGGGTAGCTAAAACCAAAGGCCACTGCAAGCACACCTTCAAATATCAGCTGAAGTGGAGGCTACAGCTTAGAATAACTCAGTTTGGCCTCTGCTAGAAGAGCTGATTCCTTTTGTGGTTATCGACCACACTTGTGCACAACTTAATGGTGAAAAGATGTGTTTGAGCTGGTGAGAACCAACGCTAGAGAATCAGTTTGAATATTCTTCCAGAGATGATTGTACGGTTTTCAAGGTCAGCCCCTCCAGAATGGAGTGATTTGGGGAGCCATGCATGGGGCAAGGCAGGGTTTTCCTTCAATTCAGGAATGAGAAGGAAACACAAATTGAAGATTCTGAGCTCAATCCCTATTTGCACAGCAACACATCAATGCAAATCCACTGTGTGTGTACAAACGGCTGAAATAAGCAATAAATTCATCATCGAAATTTTCATCTTTTTCAAGACCAGTGTTTCTCAAGCTGCTCCTCCTGTTCTGAATGTGGCTTGGATTACTAAACTGCCCTGTTAGCAGGAATAAGTTAATGGATAACCCCAACATGGAAAACCCCCACACCAGAAGCCCGGACAAGGCAAATGATTATGTTTTCACAATGGCTACACAGAACTTTGCTTTTCCTCCTGGGCAAGGTTGAGCTGTCTTGTGTGTCAGAAAGTGAGAAATTCTCAGTGTCTTCTAAGATCAGTGGAAGAGAATCCAGCTAACAGCCGGAGTTGGGGTCAGTCACAAGACTTCCCTGTTCTGCTCCGCGTGGTGCTCACCTGAATGGCTGGGCTGCTGGGCTCTGCTCTGCGGTCTTAATCCCCTGGTTTGGGGTGGGGCCAGGCTTCAGCAATTCCTCTGCTCTAACTCTTCTGGTTTCAGTGTGCACTGCCTGGTATAACCGCTGCAGGGTAAGGGGCTTTACTACGCTGGCCTCTGTGGCCATCACCTGCGACCTTGAATGCAGGAGGTGCGTGTGAGCATGCGCAGTCGCGCGTGCTTGATGGCGGACACCTGGGGGGTGGCGTGGGTTGCGTGAGTGAGTGCGCTGGAGGCAGACTCACTAAGGGTGACATCACACAAGATGGGGGCAGCGAAACTGCTACCAGAGGACGCTAGTGAGTCCAGAAGCAAAAATGTGTAGAGATTTGCAGGGGGCCAAAGTTACTGTCTCCCTGCTGGCTAGTTTCCCCCTAATTGGGGATGATGCGAAGGGTTCCACTTTCCTCATTTAAGCTGCCTGACTCCACGGTGAATCTATCCAGCCTGGGATGGTTGCAAAAACACTGTGAATGAATAGGGTTGGGAAACTGTTTATTCAGAGGTACATGGTTGGAAAACAACCATGGAGAGACCAAGTGCCAACTAATAACATTTAAGGAGCACTAACTCCAGGCAGAGAGCACAACAAACCGACTAGAAAACCACATTTGGATTTGTTGTCTCCCCCTACCCTTTCTCCCAGCACCTGGTGGTCTCCACATCTTCACTGAATGGAATGGCTGCCGCCAGAGAGACATTTTTAGCCATGCCCCTCATTCTACTCTACCTCTTGATGGCTTCATCTCCCAAAGGGGTGAAAAAGATGGTGGGGGCAAAAGCTAAGGGCATAAATGACTACTTTTAAAGAGGCTTATATATCCGACTATCGTAGCTTCATTCAGTTTTCCTCACCCACTCACCTGTAGCGCCAAGGTTTGCCTTCATAATTTCCCAGGGTCACAGCTCCAGAGCAGCACTGAAGCAAGAAGCTGAGTCAAAAGAACATCTCAGGTGCTTAATTCTGAAAGCCACCTGGCAGCTGGCCTTAAAGGGGTTAGAACCTTATGAGAGCAGCTAGCATTAAGCACACAGGCCTCTCCTATTTTCTGTGTTCTGCTGAGGAACTTTGGTAGGAAATCATGGGGAAGCCATTCAAAACAGTGCTACAGTCTTGGAGCCTGTGTTGATTATGGACCCCTTTGCTTGCATGTCACCTGCAAATTGTAATGCCAAACAGGAAGGGGTGGAGATAGCAGGTGGTTGGGGGAACTATACTATCCCAGAGTCCACTGTGAAAGCAGCCAGGGTATATGTTAGAAGTGTTAGGCACAAGAAAGCAAACCCAAGGGACTGTTAGCCCCAAGAACTGCCTGCTGGAAGAAGCTCTCTCAGCTCTTGCCTAGACCAGAAGCTCACAAAGGAGATTCATTGAGGAGCCGCCTGCAGTTCACTGGTGTAGGGTCTTTGCCAGTAAATCACCAAGTTTGGAGCATTTTCTGTCTCACTGGAGTATTTTCTGTCTCAGTTATAACTCTGAGAAAGCTTTGTCTTAAATCTATCACTCATAATAGCAAAATTTGAATGGAGCAACCCACCAACCTGGTAGCTCCTCCTGGTTGGTCTCACACTGCACTATACTTGGTCAATAGCCAAAGTTATTTAAAGTTGGGGCCAGGGTAGCCTGGATAGTTGTAATTTTAAGTGGAAAACTCTTGGGGAAAGGCCCATTTTTAACATGTTTAGGGACAGAATCTACCTAGCCCAATAGAATCCACACCTTAAACACCCCATCAGAAACAAAATAATTTGGATATACATCCAATAAATGTTGACGAATTATATTGAACCATATACATTAACAAACTTTATATGATCTACAAATAGAAATCGATCTTTTTTCTATACTCCAGTGGCAAATCTTGCTCACATAGTCCTCTGATTTGTCTCTGGTCATGAACCATGTGTTTTCTCAATAACTTAGTACCTTAAATTTAAAGGTTCTTAGTGTTTGTAATTGGCCTACACAGTACATTAATTAGGCTTTATTCAAAAAGAAAAACATCTAGCTCGGCAGTTTGAGGAGGCCCCATGTTAGTCACGACTCTGCCAGAGTAAGTAGCTGTGGCACCTGAAGTTCTTCCCATCTCAGGATCTCAGTTGCCTGTGGTAAATGACAGCTGAATCAGCTGCTTCCTAAAGTTTTACTTTGGCCCCACTGTCCATGAAAGGCTGTATTTATTGTTTCTTACACATACAGACCCATTCTGTGATTCAAAGATGGAAAGATGAGGTATTTTCCCAGGGTTGTGATATGCATTTTATGTGTATCTAGTTCAGGAAACAAAGTAGTACCCTGGGGGTTCTGGCAGGGCTGCCTCAGGCAAAGCCTCCCTTTTCCTTCCTCCTCAAGCTGCTGCAGTTACTACTACTTAACTCTTTGTAGTCCAGAGCCCTCTGGGCTTCCACTGAATTTGCTCTATGATTCATTGAATTCTGCCAGGATCACTGGCTGGGAGATTTGGTAAGTCTTTGCAAAACTTAGGTACCAGGGGAAAAGAAGACAGTGGTGTTCCTCTTTTTATCTAGCACATTCTTCCTCTTTCTCTTTTAAATATGCACCTTTTCACACAAAAATGCTGATTCAAAAAAGACACCTGCACCCCCATGTTTACTGCTGCTTTATTTACAACTGGAATCAACTCAAATGCCCAGAAGTAGATGACTGGATTAAAAAGATGTGGTACATATACACGATGGAATATTACTCAGCAACCAAAAAGATAAATAAACACATGCTTTTTGCAGCAACAGGGATGGAGCTGGAAGGGATCATGCTTAGTGAAACAAGCCAGAAAGAAAAGGAAAAATACTGGATGGTTGCACTCATAGCAGAAGTATAAAGGACCAGGTGAGAAAAATAATAACAAACAACTATATACCAGAGACATTTTACAGGGGTGGAGTGGGGAATGGGACAAAAATAGTTGGGGGAGGGAAGTGCACTGGACTATGGTGATGGCACAGGGGTGATTTGGTGATAGGAAGCCCACAGGGATTACAACTGAGATGGAAAAAGGCACAAAAGGATGTTTATTATTTTTTTTAAAAAAATGCACCTTTTCATTGAAGTTAAAAATTCTCTGGTCTGGCCTCCCTGGTGGCCCAGACTTAGCGCTGTTGATCCTGTCAGGGAGCTAACGCATCTAACGCATCTGGTGCAGCATGCCACACTGCTCCCCTCAGGAGTCCGTTTCACTACATTTGCCTGTTCTGCTCCTCTCCTTTCCCTAAAGTTTCTCACACCACCCCCAGTCCCCCACCAGCACCTCTGGCCTACAATCCAGTTCTTGCATGCATAATAAACCTTAACACACCACGACCACCAAGCCATCTTTATGGTAACATTGGTATAAAACAAGAGGACTAGGTGTTATTGCTTGCTTCCCCAATCCTGGAATACTGAAGCTCATTGAGCATGCAGTAGGTATGCAGTAAATATTTGCTCTGGGAATTATATGTGTTGGAGAACTGGTGCTATTTTTGTATTGCTAAAATGGCTTGAATGTTGATTTAGCTGCTGCATGTAAAATGCCTGCTGTTGGAACCTGCTATGTTTAGGCCTCCCAATTCAAGGAGCTGCCCTTGGGGCCATTTTGTGCCGGGCTGGATACAAAACAATGAACTATGTGAATTTACCCTTGAGTTGAAAAATCCAAGATAAAATGCTGTTTTGGGCCTATGAGGAATTTGTTCTGTATCATCCTAGAAAGCAGGAAGAAGGGCACTAACTGATGGCCAAATTTTAATCTTGTTTTTTTTTTTAAAGAGTAAGTTTATTAGAAAGAAACAGGAGAGGAAAATACACTTGTATAGGCACAAGTGGGCAGAAAACACTGCCCCTGTCCCAAAGGGACAGGTTTGCAGAGAGACCTACGTGGTTGTAGGCAGACGGCCATAGGAGAGCGGTCTCCACTGAGGGAGGTCAGTGCAGAGGTCCCAGCAAGGTACAGGTCACTGGCATGCAGGAGGCTGCTGCCCTGCAGAGGGTGAGAATGGATAGAAAAAAGTACCTGCATGGGCACAGGTGGGCAGAGAAGCGGCTGACAAATATCTGGTGAGGTCCCTTCCTGGTGACACAATGGGTTAAAGTGCAGCAGTGCGAAGGAAGCTAGTTGTAGATGCTTCAGTAGTTTAATTCCCAGCCAGGAAGGTGACCCACATGATCCAGCAGACCTCTCATGTCTCGCCACCTGCTCCCCTCAGCAGTGTATTTATTCGATCTGCCTGTTCTGCTCCCCACTGTCTCTGGTGAATCCTCTCACCCCCACCTCTGGCCTTTATCCCAACCCTGTATGCATAAATACATCTTTAAAAAAATCTGGTGAGCGTATTATGACTTTGAATAAACTTACATTTGAGATTTTGTGAAGTCACCATTGAAGTGTTAAGGCCCATGCTCCCAAAGTGCAGGTCTTAAAGCATGTCAGCTCAACTCTGGATATTAAACATTTAAGGCATTAAAAAGTAGTACCAGTAGGCTTGAAACCCTGACCTCATTGCCTGTAAAATAGGGGTGGCACATACCACCATCCATCATTACCAAGGGGTGAAGTTAGCTAGAGCACAGTGGTGACAAGTCACTGTCATGGAGCATCTCAACAATCATAGACCTTGGTTGGTAAGAAAATGTTGGCTGGGTGTGTTGGTAATTTCAAAGATCTATATATGTTTTACTACTTAACTCACAGAACTTTGTGGAAGAGGCCAAATAAAGCAGTTTAATTTTTTTTTAAAGATTTATTTGTGCATACAGAGCTGGGGTACAGGCCAGAGGCTCAGGAGTGGTGAGAGGCTTCACCAGAGACAGAGTGGGGAGCAGAACAGGTAGATCTACAAAGTACACTGCTGAGGGGAGCAGCGGGCGGGTCAGGAGAGGTCTGCCACGCCATATGGTCACCTCCTAACTCATGCGGAAGTGGCTTTAGCTTCTCTGTGTTGTGCTTTAACCAGCTGCGCCACCAGAGAGGGCCCAAAGCAGTTTAATTTCATGGTATTTATGCAAATGCTAGTCATGAGTCCTGCAGTAACCAAATCCAAACAATGGCAAAAACTTACTTTGAAAGATCTAGCTGGCATATCTTATTTGCAGGTTATATTCCAAAGTTGAGTCTAAGAAATGGACTAGCTTATTGTTGCAAAACTCCTTAGAGAATTGTGCCGTGAGGACACACACTACTTCTCTGTCAATATTACCCAACACAATATCTAGATTTTCTTTCTGAGGTCCCGTAGATTCTGTTTAGAGGTCACATTTGGACACCATCTTTTCATGGTAAGGAGAAAATAAGGTCAAGGTCTTTAACACAAACACGTAGGAACCCATCAAATCAACTGCAAATCTGTATTTCCCATCTCATGCTTGTCCCACAGGGTAAGTTCCCCAAGTGAAATAAACAGCTGACCATATTAGGGATCATTTATGATGTGGTTATATGGATATGGCTATAGAGGGTATGACTGATTCATTTTAGAAATACCTATGTAACTTTACTCTCTAGCAATTTTAACAGCTGGATTAGGAGCCATGTAAAAAATTCATTTTAAATTGTAACCCAATGCATACATGTTATACATTTTTAAAAAGCACAAAATATTTGTCTTTATTATTACATGCTGTTCTCAATCTATTACATTCTGTTCTATTTTAATTAAAAAAATTAGGTTGCAACTGTTCCTCAGTCCTTAGCTGGGATACAATCTTGATTCAAGAAAACCAAACTAGAGTTATTTCAAGCTTTTAGGGTAGAACATTGGGTTAAGGAAAACAAGCAAGCACATTTGTCCATAATATTTTAATACTTTTTCACTTTTAAATACTGGTTTTAATTCTGTGATTGTAACATGGAAGATCCAATTTTATTTTTAAAAAACATCATCAGGATCATAAAGCTATTATAGAATATTACACTCTACACACTCCCAAGGTACTTTAAAATGATTATGTTTTGAGTTTGTAATTGAACAACAATAATCCAAATACATCGTCTGTACAAATACTGGTGAAAGTGTTTAACTGGACAGACAACTGATAAGCTTAAGATAACCAGCACAATTTCACGAGAACCAGCTCAGCCCAACTAAAATTTTCTCAATAGCAATGGACACTGATGTTATATAGGTGTACAAATTAGTTGATTAAACTGAACAAATGGGAAACCCATCCTGCCTTTGCTGTAATTTGTATTCTTACACCTCCCTCCCAGTCATTCCCCTCCTTGGGCTGGCTGCCCCTGTGGCAATCTCAAGCTAAGAACTGTTAATGATCACTCTCTACCTCAAAATTACAAGTCCCAAATTCCGAGTGAAACACTGCTTTCTTGTCCTGAACAGTGGGCGCTCAGGGAGAAAAGTCTCTCACCAATAGTTTTCAAATTTCTATCACATACAAAAGAATAACTGAGTAGAAAAGAGTAGAAAGGTACTTTTTCTTTTTTTGCTTGGGGAAGAGAAGTAGGAAATATTTGTGGATGAGAAAATATCATGTAGAAATAAGCCAGACAGAAATAATTTTAAAGGGTCTGAATATTGCCCAAAAAGGCTAGTACCTCTACAAATTTTGACCTTTATTAAATTGTATTCGTAGTCCCCAATACACTTCTAAAACTGGGTGGAAGGGATTAACGCTAGTGAAGTACCAGTGCAGTTATCTAAAGGCAAAATGTATCTTTTTCTTTTTTTAATACAAATATTTTTAGTGTAATCATTTTATTTACAGAATAAATTGCAAAAGTATATTGTCAATATCTAGTGCAAATGCAACTAAAGATAATTAGATTTAGATACTGCTTTGTAAACTTTCCATACTTTGTAAAATAAAGCTATCCAATTTAGTTTTGAAAAGTATTTGTCTGTGATCATGATAGCTACGACACAGCAAACAGAATGATTTATAGTGGGCATAGAGAATTTTTTTTGAAGATTTCCATCAGTGGCTGTGGTAGATAAACCTTCCCACCCTAGCCTCCCTCCCCCACCCCACAATCCCATTCCAACCCCACAGCTGGTTGTAAAATAAAATACACATTTGAGGTATAAACTTTTCTCTTTAAACATCACAATATAAAATGTTAACTGGTGATGTAGTAAACTGATATGATAATTTGTCTTATTTGCCTTAGTAGCATTACCACCATATAGGCACTTTTCCACATAGTCAAATTATGAACAGTATTTTTCTGTAATAAGGCATATTCCATGCACATCATTTAGAGAAAGGTAAATTAAAAAATAGAAAAGATTTACAGAGCATGAATCTGCGTGCATGTAATCTAAGCATATGTCTTATATGTATTTTCTCTCTGTACATAATAATAAATACCACTATATCTGATGCAAGTAATTCACTTCCAGGATTGTGCATATTAAGTGATCAGACTAATCCCATCATTAAATTATCACCTTGCATTTATCATTAAGACTCCATTACCACATATGAAATATATACAGGACATGTTCCACGTGATGTAACTTTGTTTTATAAAGTGGGTCTGATTTCTGTGTTTTTATAGCTATGAACAAGTCAGCAAATAATCTATAAAAAGCCTCTAATTTCTGTGAGCACATCTGTGTCTTTAACACAATGAAGATTTTGAAGTGGGCAGTCATTTTTACTTCAATGAGTACCATTCCTTGCCTCAACTCCATGCTTCAAAGTTTTTTTTCCACAGAGGCCTAAAACTAAAAAAGGTATTTTACAATTAAGTTCTAACAGTGACCAAGGAAAGAATTTCAGTTTGAATCCTTGGATTCACATGGAATCTTTTACTGCTCTGCTGAAGGTTCTGATCAAGAGGCAAACCGTGCTGCTCACGTGTTCTATTCATCTCTTGCAACGTATTTTTTAAACTGACCCAAATTAGAACTAACATACATATCTAGAATAGAAATACTGATATCAAATGTCAAACTCAGTCTGATTCGCTTTAACAAGCACCGCATCTCCTCTTATAATTTCAGGCAATATGAGCTCATTTTACCTTGACTGTTTTACTAGAAAGTAGTTTATACCCACAAAATTTGTGTAGATGTTTCTGTTTGGAGGCAGGCAGATTCAATTCAGGAATTACCAAACTGTGTTTGTAACAAACTGAAAAAAAGTTGTAGCACACAGTACACAACTAAAAAATACAATAGAAATATAAAGATATCTGGGGGAAAAAATAAAGCTTTCACTCTTTCTCCATCAGAACCAAGGTTCTTCATTGGAGCTAAGCTAATAGAAAAGGCAAAATCACAGGTTATTGACAGCCCTCAGTTATTAAGAGACATTTTACATGACAATGTGAATTATTATAGAAATCAGCAGCAATGAATTCTATGATTATACAAAGCAAAAAAGTCAAAAATTTCTGGACACAGATCTCACTGTAGGCCTAAAAGAACCCCATCCGGATTATTTGGTGCACAGAAAGCACATGCCCCATGTGCGTTCAACTTTTGTGCTTTTCTTTTGTGCACAAAATCAGATACAACTGAGGCTCTTAGGCAGGACCACTGTAAATTAAAAATTCTGAAAAAGTTTCCAAAAATTAAAGCATCAATTCCTACTTGTGATCCAACGTTGATTTTTTTCTTTTCTAGAAGCAAGCAAATAAAAATATAGCCATATACATGTAATTGTACATGTATTTATAGTAGTTACACGCTGAGCAAGGAGAGCTAGCAGGATACAGCTAGTGATAGATGTTCAGCTTAGCTATTGCAGTATTTCTTCACTTTGTACAAAAGGCCAAGGTGTTGGGCCACTGACAAGGCTGTAGATCCTATGTTCCACCTGAGAGCATTCACTATTTTTTTTTTTTTCAGTTTTTCCTCCAACATGGAATGTCACACAGCCTTGTTCAATCACTGTAGGAAGGAAAATGACAAGGAAAAAGCTCATCAATACATGTTTTGTAATAGCTACAAACTACTAAATCATCTGAATTCATAGGCTGCACAAAATTCCTACCAAAAAATTTACATTTTAAGGATTTCCACTTTAAAAAATGTAATATTACGAACCTTACTATTTGAACCTTAACCCCAGCAGCAAGAAATAGTAGGCATAAGGAATCTTTGCAAAGTCAGGAAAAAATTGAGGGCCTCCCTGGTGGCTCAAGGGGTTAAGTCTCAGCACTGTGAAGTTAACTCGTAGCCACTGCAGCACGAGTTCAACCCTGTGCAAGGAGCTGATCCATATGGCACAGCAGACCTCTCCTGTTTTTTACCCGCTGCTCCCCTCAGCAGTGTAGTTCAGTCAATCCACCTGCTCTACTCCCCGCTCTGTCTCTGGTGAATCCTGTCACTCTCCACATCTCTGGCCTATGTCCCAGCTCTTGTATGCATACATAAGAATTTTTTTAAAAGAAAGTCAGAAAAAATTGAAACAAACAAGTAAACAAAGAGGAACCCAACCAGAGGTCTCCGGATTTGTACCCCGAGAGCTTTTTAGTTTTCAATAAAAATGATGCTTCATAAAAATGCCACTTATCTAAAAAATTGATTTAGGCTACACTTCAGTAGATCTGTCTGTTCTGCTCCCCACTCTGTCTCTGGTGAATCCTCTCACCTCCTGCACCTCTGGCCTGGACCCCATTTCTTGCATGCATAAATAACTATATCTTATAAAAAAGTAAAAAGAATATTTACTGCACGCATTTGCCTGGGCATGCACACACATACAGCCAGCCAATTAAACACTGCCACAGAACTGCCAGAGGCAAATGCTGTTAATATGTTAACATATTTTTCAAGTGCTTAAGAAAATTCTTCTCCAAAAACTGAGTCCAAATTCTATATACTTCAGTAAGATTTCTTTTGCTCAATACATATATTTTCTGCCCTGCTTGGTAAGGCTTGAGTTATTGGTGAAAAGATAGAATGCACAGATAAGTATATATTTGGACTTGGTTGGAGCAAATAGCAACTCCAGAATTTTTTTTTTTTAAAGATTTATTTGTGCATATAGAACTTGGGTACAGGCCAGAGGTTTAGGGGTAGCGAGAGGCTTTACCAGAGACAGGGTGGGGAGGAGAACAGGCAGATCGATGAAGTACACTGCTGAGGGGAGCAGCGGGCGGGTCAGGAGAGGTCTGCCACGCCATGTGGTCACCTCCGGGGCAGGCGGGAATCGAACTCATGCGGAAGTGGCTTTAGCTTCTCAGTGCTGTGCTTTAACCGGCTGTGCCACCAGGGAGGGCCACAACTCCAGAAATTTTCAGGCATTGGGGAGCGACATCCAGCTAAATGAGGTAGGGGACAAACCTGCTGTCACCATGTTTCACTGGGTTTTTTACTTGATACTGTGCAGAGACAGAATTAATGTGTCATGTATCTAATGATCCCAAAGTATAAGATACACTGAAAGAGTGTATTTATGCAGTGCATTTATGCTTGATGAGAGAATTCTTTGAAAACAAAATTGTATCCCCCCAAAAATTAACCATTCAGGTAAGACCAAAACCTGTTTTGACACTTTCAGCTAATTTCGTTCCCAGGAAAAGCTAACTATTGAAGACATCAATGCAGTAATGCTTGTGTCAGTGTCTAACACAATAAATCTTGCCTTTCAGGTTTTTAAAGAAAATATTGTAAAAAAGTATCAGAAACTGCACTTAATCAAAAAAGATCAGTTTTATATGGTTATTGTCTATATTACTTTTATCATTTAAAAATAAAACTGTATTAAACTAAAACAGTATTTTTTACCTATCAAGGTGGAAAATTCAAAGTTTTATTTTACACACTGTGTGAAAGGGGATAGGCAAACAGACAACCCAATCAGAAATTCCCTCAGAAAAGTTATATTTAGTAATTTACTATACAGATAAACTTGCATGTACAAAATGATGTATGATACTGGCTGCAATACTGTTCCAGCTGAGGACTGGCTAGATAAGTCATATATATCTGTACAAGATACTGTATAAACTGTAAAATAATGAGGATGCTGTACAGTGATGGGAAGACCTTTAATATTAGTGCAAAAGCCAACATGGAGGACAAGTATGTAGAGCATGCTACTTTTTCAACAAAAAAAGTGTATGTGGAAGATTACATTTGCATTTATTCAGACACTAAAGTATAAATACACAAGAAACAATAACATGTGTGTGTGTGTGAGAGAGAGAGAGAACAGAAAGGGAGGGAGAGGTAAAACCTGATGATTGATTAGCAGGGAATAAATATTTTTCTTTCTTTTTATAAAATATTTTATTTATTTATGCATAGAAGAACTGGGGTGTAGGCCAGAGGTGTGGGTGGGTGAGAGAATTCACCAAAGACAGAGAGTAAAATAGGCAGAACTACTGAAATACATTGCTGGGGGAGCAGCAGGCAAGGCAGGAAAGATTCTCCTCACCATATATGGGTCAGCTCCCTGGCTGGGGATCAAATTCAAGCTTTCAAGCTGCAGTGGTGATAGCATGATAGTGCTGACTTAAACCCCTGTGTCTTTAGGAAGACCCCAAATTTCACAGTATGTATTTTCATAATTAAAAACAAATCTTTATTTATTTATGCATACAAGAACTGAGGTGTAGGCCAGAAGTGTGTATGTGTGGGAGGGGTTGAGAGGATTCACCAGAGATAGTGTGGGGATGAGAAAAGGCAGATGTACTGACATGTGCTGAGGGGAAGTAGCAGGCAAGCCAGGAGAGGTCTGCAGCCCCAAGTGGGCGAGTTCCCAGGCCAGCTGGGGGCAGTTTGATAGTGCTGTCTTTAACCCTTGCACCACCAGGGAGGCCCTATTTTCATAATTTTGACTTAAGAAGCATAGCATAGCATAGCACTTATTTAAAAAAAAAACTGAAGACTCCAACTTCAATTTTTGCGGATGTTTGCGAAATTACTGTTTGACAGTGAAAAAGTATCTGATCCAGACAATACCGTGAGACTGGCTGATAAATTCTAACATTACTACAACAATTTTTTTTAAAAAAAGATGGCTTTATATATCTTGCATCTCAATCTAAAAGATATGAGATGTATAATCAAGGTTTATTTGTTAAGTAGAAATACTGTCAACATACATATATATACTAGAAGACTACACAGTAAGTTTTAATAGCCACTTCTGGGCAGGGAAAGATGTAAGGGACTTTGTATTTCTGAAATTCTGTACTTTTGTAGTTCTGTAATGTTGACATTTTAAAATTTTTATTCCTTCATTCATGCATTCATTTATTTATGTCCAAAAGGGTGGGCTTATTATGAAAAAGGAGAAAAAAGTAAAGGATAGTAGCACAGACACAGAAGGCAGAAAGAGCTGCTGCTGGAAGGGGCAGATTTGTTAACACAGAGGCCTGCAAATTTCCAGGTGGCAGCAGAGCTACTGTTAGTTCAAATTTAAAAGAGGTATTATCCAAAAAACCCTACTATCTCACATTAACAAAGAAAAAAAAAAACTTTAGAATTAACTGAAAACTTCGTATCTGTAGTCATACTAATCAAATAAAGTTTACAAAAGGGGTAACATATATTTTCTAGTACCTGTTAATACTAGAACAATATAGATTTTCCTGCAGTTTTTTCTTGGACATAAGAAGTAAAACGTTTTAGAAACTTTGGATACTCCCGCTTTGCCACTGCCCTTAACACTGAAGCTGGTGCCCATCCTCCAGGGTTCACTGTGAGATAAAGAAAAGTAGAATCTGTTAAAACACAATTTTTCCAAATACATATAACACTTACTTTGCTTTTAAAAAACTCCTTTCACTGGAACAGTCAAATTCTAAACAAATGTAACTTAGTTGGGCTTTTTTTTTTTTAAACATTAGTAGCTATGGCTCTGTCTAATGAAGGTCTGGATACTTGACTAAAGAGATGCCAGTAACTACTGCAGGTATAGTTAAGGCATCAAAGCAAGTGGCATACAGTAAACAGGGTTGTCCAGAAGCAGGCCATTGTGAAATAAAAGTTAGTAAGGACAGTGGAGTAATAATTCAGAAAATGGAAAAGAAAGAAAAAAAATTGTTTAATTTCTTTTTACCACTTGTTTGTGTTCCTAACAACATAGAAGAAATTACATATATGAATATGTACATATATACACAAAATTAAGAAATTATATAATAAAACATGTTTTAAAACCAAGAATATACAATAATGATCTAGAGATGAAATTTTAAATTTCACTGCCTGGCTCCAGCTTAACTTCTACAATAGGTCTGGCATGATATTTAGGCATTTTTGAAAGTTTCCTGATAATTTAGCTATACAAATCTTCAAATCTGAAATTACTAATCTAAATGATAAAATCTAAAAAGATATTTATCCAAGCTGTCAGTTACCATGTAGATCATTTTAAGAATATTCACATTAGCCAAGTAGCAAAATCAAGCCAGTACATACCATTTGCTACATATGTAATCTTGCACAGAATGTTTTCCCTGCTAATCTCCTGGTTTCCCTCTGGTGGGCTTACCAAGGTTTGACAAATCATAGCAATGTTAATTTTGGCACGGACACATCGATTGTTTAGCTGCCAAAACAAAACAACACCAGTGTAAAAAATGTCCACTATTTTGTGATCTCTACTGTTCTAACCCAAACCATAACTCATCAAAATTATCAACAAAATTTTATATAAAACACCAATAAATAACACATACCAAGCTGATATGACCCTAGGAACTCTTTCCCTCTTCTTCAGCAGTAAATGGAGTTAAATCAAGGTAAAAACCATTGAGGTTTCACCAGCAGTTGACCATGACTTGAGTGGGAACACAAGTGTGGGAAGTAGGCTGTATGTACTACCTGTGCTCTGTCTCACCTAACTTGGGAGGAGAAGAAAACAGTTCTGCTGGGATGTTCACTGCCGTGATCACTGCTCTCAGCTAACACAAGGGCTATACTATTCCAAGAAGGCAAATTCATTATAAAACAAAATCTAAAAAGCACTATCAGGGCCCTCCTTGCTATCGCAACAGGGTAAGGCACAGCACTGTGAAGCTATCACAACCACTGCAGTGTGTGTTCAATCCTCGGCCAGGGAGCTGACCCACATGGCCTGGCAGACCTCTCCTGACCCACCTGCTGCTGTCCTCAGCAGTATATTTCAGTAGATCTGCCTGTTCTGCTCTCCACTCTGTCTCTGATGAATCTTCTCACCCCCTGCACCTCTAGCCTGTACCCCAGTTCTGTATGCATAAATAAATCTTAAAAAAAAAAAAGCACTATCAAGTCAAATATATATATATATGCATTTATCACCTTTGTTCTACATTATATATTTAGCTTTACTGTACAACTATAGATAATTTGTAGGGTGTACTTACAGGAGCACTGTCATGATCCACAGAAAAATTACAAACTATCCAAGTTTCAGGGTCATTTTCAGTCAAGGCTGGTATCTTTCGTATGGCAGAGAGATATAATACATCTCGCTGAGAAGCAGGCCATACCCTCTGTGGAAGCAAAAGTTTTGAAAATTTGAACTATTATCTATTCATAATGGAGTACTTAACGGAGTCATATAAAACCAAATACAGTCTGAGTTTAAGGTGAAATCTGTCATTTTAAATGGAAAGAATTTGAGAACATAAACACTGAGATTTTGTGGATATTTGTGGAATAATATCTTCAAAGGAGTTATAAGGTTTGCTCCTCTTTTTTTTTGGTGGCAATATACAGATTAACACTTGCCACTTCATTTTTACATATATTTCTACATAATTTTTGTTACATATAAGATGCATTTGAATATATGTTAGTTTTTATTTTTTAAGAAATAAACCCAATACAACCTATATAAGCCTATCTTCCATCTATTATTTATTAGGTAGAAATACTTTTAGTAGACTGTAGACTGTTAACCATGATCAATTATTCCCAGATAATAAGAGTCTTCTGATTCTGTTATTGGTCATCTATCCTCAATCCAAATTACAAGACAATTAATTGTTATTTTAACATTTACTAAATTTTAGATTTTACTTAAAACATACCCTCCCCCCATATTGTTGAAATAGAATCTTTGTTGTTACTGGTTTCTTGAGCAGCTATTATATATAAAATGAAGATGAGTTCACAGTCATTAGATATAAGGTGCCTCAAATGATAATGTAACACTCAAGAAATAGTGCAATCCTCAAATATTTTCATATATTGAACTCAATTTAAAAATAATTTTAAAAAGAGAAAAACAAGGTTCTCACTGATATGGAAAAATTAAGTATCTACTGAATCATTCTATTTCTTCCATAATTCTAGAGTTATAAAATTTTATATGCACATTATGATTTTTGGTGAACCTCTCTAAAATAGTAACTATTTTTATTATTCTATATACAATCTATTATCTGGCAGGAAGAGAGGGAAGAGAGTAGAAAAAGGTAAGAGAAAAATTAACCAAGTGACAGTGTTTCTGTATCCTCTGATATATGTTCCTCTTCATAGTCATATTCAACAATTTCCCTTGCTTTGACAATCCACTTATATCACTTTTATATTTTCTAACTGTTAACACACCATACTTTCCATTCCCTTATTGTTATCAGAGGAAACTATGATTGACTTTCATATTTGGTAGCCATTATCTATCTATCTAACTCTATAGAGACTAGAAGCTAGCAAAATATCTAAATGGATTTCATTTTCTTTACCTTATGTGTTTGATAAATGATAATTGCATTATCAGCTAATGTCTCCACCACATGGAAGTTCTCTATAGTTGCTGAAATGAAGAGAAAAGGATTAGTAGCCAAAAAGATACATTGCCTTTTTCTAAAATGACATTAATTCACTTTTGAAAGTTATGGCAAAATGGACAGGATCTTGTCCTATCTAGGTTAAGTGTAAATAAGGTAGTTAATAACTTAGCATTAAGGTTTTAGACAGATGACGGCTGTGAGACCTGGTCATTTGGAAGTCTCATTTCTAAGGCCCAAATATCTTCCTTCCTCAGCCAAAAAAAAAAAAAACGTAATTCTAACCACTCAGATACAGATTATGAACACTATGCCTATTCCCTGTCATCCCTAATTTATTGAAGCTGAATAATCTGTTCAATCTTTGATGATTATATTTGTGAAAAAGAGTATCTAATTACCACTGATAAACAAACTTTGATGTTCAGGAAATATCAATTTTTATGAAACCTGGTGCATAAAGGGAGTGTGTGCACGCACACACACACACCACACCACACCCCCCGCTCCTCCCAAGGATAACTCTAAACAAATCAGGGTGTAGATTCATGGAAACAAAATAGTCCAGGAAAAGAGTATATAATAAAATAGAAATCTTTAATCTTATTCCTGGCTTTTCCACTAATATGTTCTGTGTGTTTTGGTAAGTATCTTGATTTATTTGAATCTTACCTTCTTACCTACCTATTATATATGATGACCGCAGTATAGTAGACAAAGAAACATTCTGTATCACGAAAAGCTCTATTTAAAGGTAAGATACTTCCTATATGATTCTGCTGTTATTTTCTATACTGCCTGTAAACTATATTTTTTAGATTTATGCAGAAAATCAGATTGAGTTTATTATTAAATTTAAAATAATGGTATTAAAACAAATAAGAGCAGCTTACTTTCCCAATCATTGCGAACATCAACATTCCAGAAGTAATTGCAAACCTCGTGCCCTGTAACGCCTTTAACTGCATGAGTAGCTTTCAAAGGATCCAGAACAATCCCATTTTCTTCTACTTCTCTTCTATAGACCTAAAAATGGATACATTTTAAAACCTGTTTAAAAATAAAATATTGGACTCTTCCTGGTGGCACAACAGGTTAAAGCACCACACTATGAAGCTCTCAAAAGCCACTGCAGCACAAGTTCAATACCCAGCCAGGGAGCTGACCCATATGGCGTGGCAGACCTCTCCTTACCCTCCCTGCCGTCAGCAGTGTATTTCAGTACATCATTTACCTGTTCTCTTCCCTACTCTGTCTCTGGTGAGTACTCTCACCCACTATTCCTCGGGCCTGTACCCCAGTTCTGTAAGCATAAATAAATATTTAAAAAAAAAATACAACTTCTCTTGGAAAAAAAAGAAGAAGAAAATCAGGCCCTTCCTGGTGGTGCAACGAATTAGGGTACAGCACTGTAAACTAGTGGCAGCCTCTTTAAAGTCTGATCCCCAGCCCTGGAAGTGACCCACATGGCGCAGGAGATCTCTCCTGTGTTGTCCGCTGCTCCCCTCAGCAGTGAACTTCGTTAATCTGCCTGTTCTGCTTCCTACTCTCTGGTGAATCCTCTCACTTCTGGCTTGTATCCCAGGTCTGTACGCATAAAGAAATCTTTAAAAAAAAAAATCAAATTCCTAAAGTGCAAATTAGAATGCATGTTCAATTTAGGTCCCTTTTAGAATTTCATTTAGGAAAATCTATTTTGCTAGAAAAAAAGTTAAAATGCCATTGCTAACATAAATGACTCATAAAACATTTAAAATTATAATACTGAGGTAATTTCAACAAAACATGCATATATGATGGATAATTACTGAGTTGTTAAAAAAAATAATCAATTTAAATTAGACATAACTTACTTACTGAATAATCCTCTAAGACTTCAACATGGCTAAGAAGGCCAAAAAAGCCAGCTAGAATATAATCTGAAAGATTTAAGGCAGTTTTGTTTAATATTATATCTCTAGCATCTAGGACAGTAACTGAAGCACAGCTGACACACAATAATTTGTTGACTCTAAAGCTAAAATAACATATTTATACTGTTTTGCTTCAATAACTGAAGTAGTATACTTAAAATGCTGAGTAAAATAATTTCAAAATGATAGATTTGTTAGTTTAGAGAGTGCTATAATAACTTCTTTAAAAAAATTTATTTTATTTATTTATGCATACAAGAGCTAGGGTGTAGGCCAGAGGTGTGGAGGGTGGGGTAAGAGAATTTACTACAGGTGGAGAGGTGGAGCAGCACAGATGAACTGACTGAAGTATACTGCTGAGGGGAGCAGTGGGTGAGACAGGAGAGGTCTGCTGTGCCATGTGGCTCAGCTCCCTGGCCTCGGATCGAAGAATTAGTGTTGCAGTAGCTGCCAATAGCTTCATAGTGCTATTCTTTAACCCCCTGCACCACTGTGGAGGGCCTACAGTAAAGTCTTTTGAAAGAATGAATAAACATGTTATCATAGGGAGAAGCAGCTCTAAATTTATGGGGCTAGACACTACTGGCATTTTACAGATAGTTTCTCTTTGACAGTCTCTCTTGCCAACTACCTCCTTCTATATGCATATTTTTTTTTTTTAAAGATTTATTTATTTGTGCATACAGAGCTGGGGTACAGGCCAGAGGGTCAGGGGTGGTGAGAGGCTTCAGCAGAGACAGAGTGGGGAGCAGAACAGGCAGATCTATGAAGTACACTGCTGAGGGGAGCAGCGGGCGGGCCAGGAGAGGTCTGCCACGCCATGTGGTCACCTCCAAGGCAGGCGGGAATCGAACTCATGCGGAAGCGGTTTTAGCTTCTCAGTGCTGTGCTTTAACCCGCTGCGCCACCAGGGAGGGCCCTATATGCATATTTATTTGTATTATTGGACTCCTATTTTCTGAGTCACCCAATCTTGAAACTCATTTGATCTTTCCCTCACACTTTATATAATAATCAAGCTTACCTCAAATCTTCAAGAGATTCAACATTTTAGGCATATATATATATATATACTTTTACTACTGGTTACTTCTTTTAGGTAGGCTTTCAATACAATTGACTCCCTTAAATGGTTTTCACAGCCTTCAGCGTCTTCCAATGTATAGTGGATCACTCCATTTTACAACCAAAAAAAAAAACCCTCCTCTAGGCTCTAATTATTAGGAGTAAGTAGAATTATACTCTAAACACCCTCTCTCTTCCCTTTAACCCCCTTCATGATTAAATGCTAATTCCTGCAAACTTGGAAAATTGTGTTACATACCAATAAAATTCTCTGTGTCCCTCTGAGGTTGATATTAACATCAGGAACAAATACCTGCTGATTGCTGAGAAAACATCCTCCTAGGAAAGTCAAACAACTTAACTCATGTCACCTAGACTGTGAAGCACATCCTTGGATCTGGAGATGTGAAGCCCTGCACTTCCCTACATTCCTTTGCATCATATATAACCCAGCACTCCTGCCATTCAGGGTGCTGGCTGTTCTGGGGTGCCTATCTCACCAGTTCCCTTGATGGCCACCTTGAATAAACTCCTAAAGATGTTTTTCATGATACAGTTTGGTTTTCTGGATGCAAGAGAAAAAGAGAAAGACCAGGTGTGGTCATTTACATAATAGCATCTTCCTAAAATGTTACTTTGCAGTGGTTAATGTACTGCTATGGACTATAGACCATTTCCTGTCTCATTTCCTCTCTTACTTCATGTGGAGGGACTTCAGATAGACTATCACTCTTGGTTTCTCTTCACCCCCTTCACTTCCTTTTCTATAACGGTAACTTATCAAATGGTGAGTACACTCAAGATGACTAGGCAGAATGCCAACCTCTTCTGTAGACAGCAATTTTCATGATCTGCTTTCGGGCCTTCTTTTTATGGGGAAGTGAGATCATCCAGCTATAACAATAATATTATGTTTACTTCTGGGGTAATCCTATAGCAGCTAATCTAAAGCCATGTTGCCTAATCTGTTTATCAGAATTATAACTTACATTTTGGTATCTCATTTGCCTTTATTTTCCATCTTATTTCTTGATTTGTTCCCTATTTAGGACAGGAAATCCCAACATCCAATATTGTATCGCATTTGCTAGAATAATTCTGGTCCACATAGACTATAAACTCCTAAATAAGAAGTGTGCTTTCAGAATTTTGCTCATGTTATATTTCTTGTCTAAATGCCTTTACCTCACATTTGATCAATGTTATTTCCAGTCATAGGCAAATTTCTACTCAGTGTTAAATTATCTCATTGTTTCAAATCACAGACATTTTCTAACCTCAACGGCTCACATACAGTCTTTATTCAACACATTTTGGATGGATCCAAGTAATACTATTTTTTAAAGGTCCGTAGCCTCCCTCCCCAATGAAAGTATCAATTAAGAGTTAGTTTTACCAAACATCTTATCACAGTGCCTTGGGCATGAGGTAATCTAGAATTCAATGCTGCTTCTTTTCAATCCATCTCTGACTATTTCATTTTTTGCTCCTATTTTCTTTCTTTTAAATTTAGGGGTATGAGCAAGATTAACCACTGTCCAAATATCAAAAAGATGAGAAGTGGGGTATGGGGTACAGACATTTTGTTACAGCATTTAGTATATTAAAAAAGAAAACTACCCAAACAGAGTACCACCAGTTAACTATGATTTGTTCATCTCTAAACCTCACAATTTTACTTTTCCAACGGGCTAGGCAAAATAGATAGCTTCTTGCATATATTTATACTCTGATCATTAATTATGTAAGTGCTACTAAACCAGGGAAGCAAAAGCACATTAGCTTCTTAGTGCAGTGCTTTAACCGGCTGCGCCACCAGGGAGGGCCCTTTATTTTATTTTTTTAAAAAAGATTTATTTAGGCCCTCCCTGGTGGCACAGCGGGTTAAAGCACAGCACTGAGAATCTAAAGCCGCTTCCGCATGAGTTCGATTCCCGCCTGCCCCGGAGGTGACCACATGGTGTGGCAGACCTCTCCCGACCCGCCCACTGCTCCCCTCAGCAGTGTACTTCATCGATCTGCCTGTTCTGTTCTCCACTCTGTCTCTGGTGAAGCCTCTCGCCGCCCTTGAGCCTCTACGCATAAAGAAATCTTTAAAAAAAAAAAAAAGATTTATTTATTTATGCATACAGATCTGGGTAGTATATAGGCCAGAGGTACAGGGGCAGTGAGAAGATTCACCAGAGACAGGGCAGGGAGCAGACAGGCAGACTGACAAAGTACACTGCTGAGGGGAGCAGCGGGTGAGACAGGAGAGGTTTGCTGCACCGTATAGGTCACCTCTGGGGTGGGGGATGGAACTCACACTGAAGTGGCTGCATCTAGCTTGCAGTAGTACTGCACTTTAACCCACTGTGCCACCAGGGAGGGCCTTATTTTTATTATTTTTTTTTAAAGATTGATTTATTTATGCAATACAGAACTAGGGTATAGACAAGAGGTGCAGGGGCAGAGAGAGGGCTGAGGGGAGCAGCAGGCAAGGCAGGAGAGGTCTGCCGTGCTGTGTGGATCACCTCCATGGCTGGGGAATCAAACTTGCACTGAAGTGGCTACGGTTAGCTTGCATTGCTGTGTTTTAACCTGTTGTGCCACCAGGGAGGGCCATGAGTAATTTTTAAGTGCTCTTCTTATACACAAAATAGTAATGATTTTATGACTGTAACAGAGGTGAAATTAGGAACCTATAACATTTTATTGGTAATTACCTTCATTTCTCCTTCTTCTACAACCAACTGCCAGTTGGCATCTCCACCTACATCCTGTAATGAATAAGTCATGTGGTTTTGCACCATCTCTTCAACCTTGAAAAGAAGAATAAAATGATAAGACATCATATTCAGTTAATAGCTATGGCATAACCTCTAAAAACAGATGATATTCAGCTTATTTCAGCTCAGAAATGATGGTTTTAGAAAGTTGAGCGACTGAATGCACAAAAGTTAGTAGGTTTTATATAAGTTTTGAAGAGTTTAGTTCACATTCCAGATAGAACAATATACAGGTTAATGACAGATGGGAGAAATGTGGGGAAGAAAAATACTTCACTGGCCTGAGGTTTATCAGGTGACCAAAACAAACATATTCTGGAAAAAAAGAAGGTGACTTCCTTACCAACTACACACAGACACTTTTTCTAAGTTTTACCTTCTATCCTTTTATACATAATTTTATGTTAAATACATTAGAGAGGGCAGCTAAGAGTTAGAAAACATGCAAATTATACTTCAATTTAAAAATTTATCCTTAAGCTTATTAACTACTTAGTTTACATAAAGTCTATTGTTCTCAAGAACCAAGTTTATACATATTTTGTAATAAATACATTAAATAAATACCTGAATAGCTTGCAGGTAGAAACTTAAAAACTACTAGCCCTGGGGATATATTCTATAAAAAAGGATATTATCAGTGTTGTAGTGAGAAGCATTTCTGCTATATCTAGTTTTCTAGATAATAGAATGCATTTTTTTTGTTGTCAAAAGTAGGTATGCCTGTGTTTCATAGCAATAACCACAAAAAGAGTTTTTGGTAAAAATATGTATGCTGAGACTCCATGATCTATTTTTGTATTAAATAAATACTAAGTAACATTTTATTCCTTTATTCATAACCCCCAAGACAATGTGAATGGGTTTGAGTTATAGGCGGGAGATATTTAAAAATATGACTAAAAGGATAACCTACAACTTTATAGAGCCTTCATTAGAAAACACAATCTCAGGATTGACTGCCTGGAGGAACTGATGTATTTCTATAACTATGAAGTTTGGGGTAAAGAGATTTAAGATTATTAACACAGGATTTCAGTTACAAATAAATACAAAATATATCTGAGTTCTAAGAGGATAAACAAAATATGTTTGAGTTCTAAGAGGATATCTGAGTTCTAAGAGGATAAACAAAATAAAACAACCAGAGTAGCCCTGGCTAGATTCACTGTTCTGCATTGCATTGTGATTGGGAGAAAGTCTTACCCTCTTCTATATCCCAAAATTTAAAAAATCTTGTGAATATGTGAATATGTACTTTTTAGGTGGGACACAGGGAATTACGAATACTGTAATTATGAGATTCGAAGCAGAAAGAAATGCTTCCTAGAAATAAGTCTTGTTAATGGATCACTTATGAAAGAAGAAAGTGACAAATTTTATTTCATTGAAATCAGAGTTCTGTTTGAAAAGATTTTAGTGCCAACTAACTGTTGTCAAAAAGTATGGAAGTAATTGTGTTTTTGCCTGAGAGATTATTCCGGAATTTGTTATTTCAAATGTTTGAAAAATAAGAAACTGCTTTTGATTTGTGTTTTGATCTAAAAGAAGCCAAATTCTACATATATAAACTGGCTGATGTAAAGTAAATGAAAACAATGTACAGTAAACTGGATTTAACATTCTTTCTATGAGTTAAACTTCTATGAGTTAAAAAACCGGTGTTTCCTTGTAGAAAATATCTACAGAAATGTTTTCAGTCTTTTTTCCTGTTTACTCTGCTTGAGTAAGGGCTTGGAAAAAAATCCAATGAGAAAGTAAACTAGATGAATTAAAGGCTGTGCTCCTATGAAGTTAAAAAAAGAAATGAAGTATTCAATTGTTGAAGCAGCCATCTCTGCAAAACCTTCATCATAGAATCTCTACTCATTTTATTCGTTGAGGTAATAAAATTAAGGTTAAGAAGAGAGATTACAGGTAAAATCTCACTTCTATGAGTTTTATGTCCACTGCAGTAATATAATGTAGCCAATGTTACTGTAGGGGCAGTGACTTGGGCATTTGCACCCACACTGACACTTCAGATCTAAACTAATAATCTGCTCCATTTACCACTTTCATTGAGGACTTTGTGTATCAAAACTAATGAGGAAACCAGGGATCATTAAGTTAGAGAACAAGGATAAACACAAGCCAAACTTAACATTTTATTATGCTCACATTAAAAAATTATGAGATTTTAACATCTGCTGTAACTTTAAAAAAAAAAAAGTTGGGTCAAAATTGGAAGCAGGTTCACTGATTTAATGCTACTTCAAGTTTTAACTAGATGAAGCATAATCTTAGGAATCATATGCCTGATTTTTTTTTTTTTTGACCTAGAGGTAAAAATGAGCTAACACATATAGCATCTTCACAAGTGATCTATGAAAAAAATGGAGATAAACACATTTGAAATGAGGTGACCTCACATCTGAACCACTCATTATGCTATTGTAGGAGGTTACTTAACCTAATCTTCCTAACATAATACAGAAATTTTAGGTTTGTCACAGATATGTGAACAGGTTTACCTAAGTTAGCAGAAAAAAATTGTAAGGTATATGCATTTATCAGTATGTGCTTGATTAATTACTATGTGTATATAAAGTATTAAAATATGCTTATAGAAAAAAAAGATGTAGCTAATTTTGATTAGTTCACAGACATGTAATACTAGTAAAAGGTCATACTCAGTGAGTACTTAATACATGCCATGCTAGCTTAGCTAGCTCCCAGTCCTAGCTAGATCACAGAAGTGAAACACAGAAGAATCAGAAAACTGGTACCAAAAATTATTGCTTACCAGAATTGAAACTCACTTTGATTAGAGTACTCAGATTCTTAATAAAACATAATGCAATCTAGTAAAGTGCAAATCACTATAAATATACAATGACGTGAAGTTAAAAAACATTTATTTTTAAACTAATGCTGATACTAAAAAAACATGACAATTTGATTTTTATTTTAAGGGAAGCTATAAGCATATAACTTCCTATCTTAAATTCCTAATGCCTCACTGATGCTAAATAATCTAAAACCAATTTCCACAGATTTAGTACATGAACAGGAACATCAATTTATAATATGTAAGAATAATTTGCAAAAAGATAATATACCTGCCTAAAGGAGCTTAGAATCATATTGGTAATGAAAATACTATTTTCCAGTTAAATATAATTTATGATAGAGTAGATTAGAAGTGGGACGACAAAAACCTTCTTCTATGTTTAACAAATCCTGTAGACTAAGTCCATAAAAGTTGCTGAATCCTACTGAAACAGATATTACATGATATTTAAAAATCAGCAACCTTCTACTTGTTTTAATACAATTTGAAATCTTTTGGGAGTACCTTCAATATGACAAAATTCCAACTTATTTGTAGAAGATGATACAAAGGGCACATGCAAGTCTGACAGAGGAACTATTTAGTATGTAAGAACGGCTTTTAAAAGTTTATTGTTATTATTACTTAAAAAATAACAACCAAAGCAAATGACCAAACCAAAAGATTTCTAGGAACTGGGAAAGCAAGCTGAAATAAAGACTCAAAGTCCATTCTATATATTCATACAGTACCTGGGAGCTGAATCTGTGAACATCATCAGAGGCACTGACTAGACCAATGGAAGACATGGAGGAAGAGCGACTATAGGGCTACCAGAGACAGACAAAGAAAAAACCAAGTAATCAGAACAAAGGCACAACAGAGCATTCAGTACCAACTTCCAAACACAAGATAAAGAAATAGAGAATAAAGCACTATGAGACAAGCTCAGCAGCAAGTACTGACTTTGTGCACCTATCATGTGTTATGTGCCTCCTAAATCTGTACTGTGCATAGTAATACAAATAATACCTCTTTAGCCCAAAGAAAAACAAGATTTACTTAACTTAATATCTTGTGGCTAACTATTTTGAACTGGCTATTCTCTGTACACTCCAATCACCCTTCTTCCCCTTATATAAAAGAAAAATAAAAAAACTATGTTCCGATGATTTCTAACTACTTTGGAGGATGTATTTGAAAGAAAATACATAATACAAAATCTTATTACTTAAATTCAAGAAAAGGGAGACAAGTTATACTACAAGGTTGTTCTTCCAGCAATAGTGAGGAATAATACAACATGTAACAGTGAACACTGACATCAGCTTACCTTTTGAACAAATCTATGCGTCCCCACAGAAGAAAAGGTATCTCCAGATGGCATAGATGTAGGCCAATGCAACCTGACCTTTTCACTCTGTGACTAAGAAAAAATAAAATTGGAAGGAAAAAATGAAATGGAAGATTCTAAAATACATTTCTCACTTTAAGAATGGATTATATAACTGGAACAACCAACATTTAATTGCTGACCCTATAGTATCTATGAATACTTGAATTAGGAAAATACAGATATAAACTTTGCTAAATACTGACACTTCTTGTATTCCAAATAAAACTTTTTTTCTGATTGACTAGACACTCACTGCCTTCTTAGACCAGAAGTTAGTTTTTGGATTTGCTCCTACTCAGATATCCAAAACCTGCACATCAATTTACTATTGTATGGTTGGTCTCCCCAACAGTATCAGGCTGTTTTCAATGTGCTTAGAATAATAAGCCTTCCAACAAATGTCACCTTGATATGAACTAATGGTCAATGGAGACCCAATGAGCATGGGGAAGTCTATTACCATCACTTGAAGTATGCATATTATTTTAAGTTAAAAGCAGTGAAAGTCTTAGAAGCTTTTTAGCCTTTTACCCTTTTGCTGAAGGAAAAAGAAATTAGGTAAAACTGTCACTTTACTGGACCTAAAAGAATGTAATTTGAGAGGTATCCTCTGGGTATAGGTTTAACAATGAAAAAAACTCTCTTTGTGGAAAAACCTCACCTTTCCTTTCAGAATATCAATAGAATGAGGTTACCGACTTATTGTGTATCATGTGACATATCCCTGCAATGTTCCTTGATTCTTTAGGTCCCTAAATACAGAATATACCCAGTCTATCCCACTATTTAAAAACTTCAACCATGTAAATCCTCTATACGTATATTATTAAGCTGTCACCTTTCCTCCTACTAATCTGAAGTTTGTTTGTTCAGTGGATGGAAGATTGCCTTACTCAGAGTATATATATGCTTGATACTAACATAATAATAATGAAGTTGGGTACTTCTAGGAAGAAAGAGAGTATTTACACCTAGTTTCCTGTTAATTATACAGACTTACTTTAAACAATTACTGGCCTTCTTTCTATTGCTTGGAAATTGATGAATGAGGGAACTGACATAAAAATCCTACATTTGTGACTTACATAGATACAGTTCATTTTGTAGGCTATTATGAAGGTTAGGATTTTCAAGTTCTAGTTATATGAAATAATATATACTAAGGAATGTCTACTGTGCTAACATTAAGTTCAGTTAAGAAATTTTAATGATATACCTGTTCTTCTATTTTATCTTGTCTGTCAAGAGCAGCTTCAACAGCATCAAAGAATTCTTCTTCGTTAATCAGACTATTTGGGCCTTCCTATTCAAACACACAGGGGAAAAAAACATTTATTTTAGAAAATACTGACACTCTTGACATTGTTTTAGGGGACAGTTGAAAAGTGATTCAACAAACATGTATAATCCAATTAGCACAATTGGTAATATCACAAACATGAGTAACATGTAGAATAATGAGTATTACAATGAAACTCACTCATTTAGTACTTACACACTTACCATAGTTGACCAACACTGTGTTAGAGTAACAGTCAAGAAAGTGGTGAATTACACAGTTTATGTAAGAAATGTATATTGAAATTGACATGACAGTAATTTGGTAAGGAAAAAAGTACACTTAACCCATTTTGCTTATAGGGAAGTGCATTTCAAGAGAATGAAAAGAGTGGTTTACTTAATACATGACATGAGAATATAGATTCCTACCTTTAACTGTAATTTAAAAAGTCTAGCTGTATTAATATATTTAGAAGACTACTAAAACATTTAAAAGGAGATATAGAAATTATATATTAAAAAATTATGCTTTTTTTGGCAGGAGTATAAAGGACCAGGGGAGAAAATAATAATAATGAACAACTATATACTATATACCAGAGACATTTTACGGGGGTGGAGTGGGGAACGGGATCAAAAACTGTTTGGGGGAGGGAAGTACACTGGGCTATGGTGATGGCACATGGGTGATTTGGTGACGGGAAGCCCATGGGGATTACAACTGAGATGGAAAAAGGCACACTATGATATAAAAATAAATTGTTATAGTATAAAAAAATTATGCTTTTTTAAGCATGATACCAAAATATGGAGATGATATATCAAATGACTGAAGGTTAGTTACATACAACATTTATATGGCAAAAGACTTCTCAGAAGCTACAATTAAAATAATTGAAAATGAGAGGCTAATCCTAAATATATTCTAAATCATGGGGAAAACCACCACCAAAACCAAAAAAGAAAATATTTTGGATTTGAAAATAGTAAACACATACAGTGAACACATAAACTTAAGTACATGGCCCCCTCTTCCCTTTACCATGTTCTTCCCTTAAAAAAAAAACCAAACCTGTTGACAGGAGTGAACATAAATAATACAATTATATATATATATATATATATATAGCTAGTAGGAGATAAAGGGTACAATATATTGGTAAACTAAACACAGAAGGTTTTTCATATTTTCTATCATCTTACTATAGGGAACATATTTATAACACACACAAAAAGACAATTTAAAAGTTTTAATAATTTCCCCCCAAATAAATTTAAAATAGCAAAACAATATTTAGTTTCAAAATAAAAATTAAAAATTTAACAGGCTGTATTTTGGTATTCTAGATTTCTAAGACTCCAGAGGATAACTGATTGTGTAGTTTTCACACATTTTAGAAGGAATGAACTGACAGGTTATTTTAAAATGCTAAAAGCCAAATCTCATGATTATGCTTTAAGTCGACATCTTTTCTACCACACAAAGTATCTAGCCAACAGCAACTCTATTCCCCCCTTTCTAGAATAAAAATGTTAAGAACTTTTTCTTTATTTTTGATATAGATGCATCTCTGTCAAAGGAGGCACAGTAGAATGAATGTAGAGTGAATGGAGTAGAGTGAATGGAGTCATTTTTTACTGCACCTACTTACATTAGTTGCCTTGGACTACATTCCCAGAATGCCATGAGACTTTCTGAATGGGAGGCATCTGGGAAGGTGCAAGGTGGAATGGAGACATGTAAGTGAGAGGCATGGGGAGAAGTTGCTCCTGGGTTTAGCATTTTGGCAGAGACGATGGCAGTCGTTATCTTGATCTCATGGTGGATTACATGGTACATTTGGGCGTCTCTCCTGTCCCAGTTCTCTGGGCTTGTCTAACCCTCTTCGTGTGGCTCGCTCTTGGAAGATGCTTAGACTTGTGGCAAGTTTTCAGTTCTCAGCTGCCCTGTGTTGGCTGAGCCTCTGTGGTTGGGCATCAGCCCATGAGGGGATGGAAAATTTGGGGAGTTTTATTAGGAGTCTGTTACGGAGATTCTCTTTCTCACTGCATACCAATTAAAGCTCTTTCAGACTAGGAATCTGCTTTCTTTACTCCTGTGCATGTTGTGTGTGTGGATGGTTGAATCCTTTTAGTATGTGGACCCTGTAACAATCTGGGATCCCTTGGTACCTCTCAGTCATCTGGTTACATTTTCTTAAATATACTCTATTTTATCATTCTACTTTTACCTTCATTATACTCCTTGCCACTCCATTTTTTAAATGTTCATTTCTGGAGTATCAACAATGTTAATAACAATCACCAGAGAGATTTCTTACACATTTTCCTCTTCAAATAAATATCACAGAAAAGTAGCTTATAAAATCTTAATGTATTGAGTATATGAAGAGGGAGAATTTTAAATTGTTTAACAAATAAAAAGGGGAAAGGTATTTGTTTCAGACGTTTTCAAACACAACATAAAGGCAATTAGAAAAATTCATTCTCTGATATATACAAGATCTCATCATCTCTATAGCCCATATTAAAATCTTTTGCCTCTTAAGTACTCAAATGTCCTCCATGGGTTTCTATTATTAAAAAAGAGACAGAAAGCATACAGTTGTTAAACATTCTCATCTGTAGTGGGAGGTAAAGACTTATTCTATAAATTGGACAGATCTAAAAATGTGCATTGTATAGCCTACTAAACTTTATATAAACCAACCAACCAAAAAAACCCCACAAAATATAACTTTATACCTCATAATCTGGTCCTCCAAAGTGGGATTTTTTCTTAAGTTCTATCATGGCATTTTTGTATGCTTCCTCTGTCCTCCTCCTCTTCTCATTTTCCTATTCAGAAAAAGTGAGTAAAAAAATTTACCATTTGAAGTGGGAATTTTTCTATTTTTTTGATGTATTATAATTTTCTCTAAAACCAATACACCTATGAAATGTAAGAGTATTATTTTGCCCAAGAATACAGTCATATACAAGCTACTGCTTAATCACTACTAAACTCACCTTACACGTAAGCTACATCTTTAAATGGATTAACTGCCAAAGTGACTATACTTCTAAGGGGTAAGCTCATGCTGCAGTGGCTGGCAATAGTTTGACAGCACTGTCTTTAACCCCTGCACCACTGGGGAGGCCTTAAATACGAAGACATTCTTAAAACACAGTGCTATTCAAACCCTGTGGCCATTCTACCAAACATCAAAACTAACATTGCTTTCCTTGGTGGAAAGTGTCCCACCTCAAAATGAACTTCAAGTATTACAAACATGTGACTCATTCACGGATGAATGATAAGATTCTGACTGATGTTTGGTGTAGTATCCGTAAAAAACTTTTCCTATTAACCAAATTTATTGAACTTTTCACATTTGAAAAGAAAGGTGGAAAAGGTAGAATATAAGGCAAATGTTGACTGAATAACACAGTGTATCTTAAATATCACAATTACCTTGGAAAATTTATACATGGCTATAAATGCAGTACATTAATGTTTAATTTTATAAATAGATGTTTAAGTTAGTTACGTAATTAAATGTACTATCATGTATTGTGCAATAAAGCTGGGTATGCTAAACTGGGTGTGCTCACTTCTGTTGCAAAACATTAAGACCATTAGAAAAAATTAATATTAAAACTTCATCAGGGATGCAGCTGTAAAGTAGGTGAATACATGAGTGGCAAATCTCATTAGGAACATGGGTTTAAGATGCCCACAAAGTTTCAGAGGTACAGTTCCACCCAACAGTCAACCCAGAAGATTATTTTCCCTCAGAAGTTGATTTACATCCAATCAGTAAAATCTGATTTTTAAAAAGGAAAAAAAAGTAGACTTACCTTATCCAATCTTTTTTGCCAGCTTTCTTCACGTTTCACCATTAGTTCAATACAATGAGAAAGTGTAGCAAGGATCCCAGCAGTAGTTGCTTTAAAAGTTATTGCCTCTCCTTTAAAGTCTATACCATTAATTCCTTTTGGCGTTACATGTGGAAATACTGGAGGCGGGAATAGTTATTCAATGAAAAATTTTCCGAAATAATTATTCTCCAACACTTAAATTTAGAAAATGTGTAGAAAACTAGCAAGCCTGAGCAGGCTTGTGGATTGTAATTTCTCTCAATGCCAACATTTAAAACTTTTCATAAATGCTCTCTGAGTAAAGAATGGCATGTCAGCATATTTACTTTGAAGTCTTTTTTTCCTGGAATCTATCTCCTGAAGTCTATTTGCTGTGCTGCACCTGGTAAATAATGTAGTAGAAGCAGTTTTACAATATAATATTGAGAAGAAATAATATTTTGGATTATAGTCACCAGAGTAGGTATAAGTATTGTCTCCTCTGATTTTCATTTACAGTTTCCTGATGACTCATGAGGTTGAGGACCTTTTCATGTGCTTACTGTCTATTTGTATTATCTTCTTTGGAGAAATATCTTGTATTTCCTCAAAGATACACTGACCATTTAAAACTGAGATAGCTGAGCCCTCCCTGGTGGCGCAACGGATTAAAGCACAGCACTGAGGGGTTAAAAGCCACTTCAGCATGAGTTTGATCCCTGTCTGTTCCGGAGGTGATCCATATGGCACGGCAGACCTCTCCTGACCCGCCCGCTGCTCCCCTCAGCAGTATACTTCATCAGTTGGCCTGTTTTGCTCCCCACTCTGTCTCTGGTGAACCCTCTCACCGCCCCTGTACCTCTGGCTTGTACCCCAGCTCTGTATGCATAAATAAATAAATCTTTTTAAAAATTGAGTTTAATGAACATGAAAGGTATTTTAAAAAAAAAACTAAGATAGCTATTATAGATTTGTAAAAGTTCTTTGTATATTTTAGAAACAAATGTCTCATTACATATATGACTGGCAAATGTTTCTCCCATTTTATGTGTTGTCTCTCCACTTTTTTTGTCTAATTCATGGTCATTAAATTGCATTTTTAAGACTTTTATAGTACTAAGTTCTCATATTTAGGCCTTTGACCCATTTTGTGTTTGATGTAAAGGAAAGAGGTTCAATTCCATTTACATATGGCTACTCAGCTACCCAGCATTTTTTTCCTTAAGATTATTCATACAGAACTGGGGTACGGCCAGAGGTGCAGGGACAGTGAGAGGATTCACCAGAGACAAGAGTGGGGAGCAGAACAGGCCGACTGACGAAGTACACTGCTGAGGGGAGCAGCGGGCGAGAAAGCACAGGTCTGACATACCATGTGGGTCACCTCCCTGGCCATGGACTGAACTCATGCTGAAGCTGCTGGGCTGCAGCTAGATTTGTAGTGTTTTTTTTTTTTTTTTATTTTATAAAAGTTTATTTTTACATCATTTTGTACATGCAGTGTTGTGTTTTAACCTGCTGTGCCACCATGGAGGGTCCAGCAGCATTTGATGAAAAACCATTTTCTTTATTGAATTATATTGGCATTCTTATGAAAAATCAATTTATGAGAAATGTAAGAGTCTATTTCTGGTCTCTGTTTCATCTGTATGTCTCAACTTATACCAGTACCACACTTTATTGCTGTTTTGAAGTAGGATGTGAAATTATGAACCCTCCTGTTTTGTTCTTTTTTTTTTTTCAAACTGCTTTAAGCTATTCTGGGTCATTTTCTTTTTTAAAAAAGATTTATTTATTTATTCATACAAGAACTGGGGTAATGGCCAGAGGTATGGGATGTAGAGGACTCACCAGTGGCAGAATGGAGACCAGAACAGGCAGACTGACTGAGATACACTGCTGAGGGGAGCAGCAGGAGGGGCAGGAGAGATCTGCCATACCACATGAGTTTCCTCCCTGGCTGGGGATTAAACCTGTGCTGCAGTGGTTGTGGACAGCTTCACAAAACTGTGCTTTAAACCACTGCCCGACCAGGGAGGGGGCCCTACTTTGGGTCATTTTCATATGAAGTTTAGGATGACTATGCTCATTTCTACAAAGAACCAACTTGGGATTTTGGTACAACTGCAATGATTCTGTGGGTAAATATGGGAAACACTGAATTCTTAATAATAATACTATGTCTTCTGATTTATGAACACAGGATATCTTTCCATTTATTAAGATCTTCTTTTAGATCATGCTTAGTGAGATAAGCCAGAAAGAAACCGGATGGTTTCACTCATAGCAGGAGTATAATGGACCAGGCGAGAAAATAACAAAAATAATGAACAACCATATACCAGAGACATTTTGCGGGGGTGCAGTGGGGAATGGGATCAAAAACGGGGGGGTGGGGGTGAGGAGGGAAGTACACGTGATTATGGTGATGGCACACGGGTGACTTGGTGATGGGAAACCCATGGGGATTACAATCGAGATGGAAAAAAAATGTACAAAATGATGTAAAAATAAACTTTTGTAATAAAAAAAACTTTTAAAAATCTTCTTTTATAAAGTTCTTTAGTTTTTATGAGGTTTGTGCCTCTTTCGCTAAATTTATTATTATTTTTGGCGCTATAAGTGAAACTATTACCTTAATTTTATTTTCACATTTTCATTGCTTGTTTATCAAAACACAACTGTTTCTTGTATATCGATATTATACTTTGCAACTCTGCTGAATTCATTTATTAGTTCCAATAGTTTTTTTAGTGGATTCCATAGGCCTTTACCTAAACAAGATAATGGTATCTTTTAAAGTGATAGTGGAGGGTGATAGGATTCACCAGAGACAGAGTGAGGAGCATAACAGGCAGATCGATGAAGTACACTGCTGAGGGGAGCAGCGGGCGGGTCAGGAGAGGTCTGCCACACCATGTGGTCACCTCCAGGGCAGGCGGGAATCGAACTCATGCAGAAGTGGTTTCAGCTTCTTAGTGCAGTGTTTTAACCCGCTGTGCCACCAGGGAGGGCTTAAGTAAATCTTTTTTAAAAAAAAATCTGGTTTGTGGGTATTTTGGAAATAGGGTAAGAGAAGGGAGTCTAGTATTAACATCTTTCAGTATGTAGACTTTTACTCTGTCCCCAGTTACCAAAGTTGCTGGAGATAAACAGAAAAAAATAAGGCTATTAGACTTCAGTAATCAGAACATAAATTTCCATGTAATTGTTTTATTGATAGGCCAACACACATATGTTCCTGAATCTAGCTCTTCAATTCTATTTCTTCAGAAAATAACCTTCCATCTCTCTTGGAGAATGCAGGTGGAGTAAACTGAGAGTGTATGGGATGGAGGATTAGATCATGGTATTTTAACTCTTTCAATGTTTTTTGTAACATCCAAACAATATCTTTTTTCACCCAAAATCTTTTTTGTATTAAAGCAGATTATTTGTCATGAAATTACATTCCCAAAAATAACCCTACAATTCCATACACACTTATTAAACTGGATGAGTCAATGTAATTCAACATTTTAGTCTGAGATTATAAGGACAACGATGTAATGTGAAGCTGGTAGTCAAAGAGTACTTCCTTTTATAAGGAAGAAGAGTCATGATAAAAATAATAAAAGGAAAATGTAGGGGAGAGGTTTTAGATTTTATTATTAATAATGGAATACTAAAATATGATCTATGAAAAAATTATTCTTTCATAACTTCAGCAAAAAGCAAGCACAATTAAATTAACTTTTTTTTTTCAATGATGATTTTGTAATGCAAAATATTAGGAGTCCTCTCTAGCTTTTTCTTAGGCTATTATATCAAGAAGAACTCTAGCAATGGGTCGAAGGTTTCTGTTTGCTTTTTTTTAAAGATTAAACATGTAAGTGGTACATGAAGTATTTGCTCTGATACATTTCACATAGGTTATTCCCTCCAAGTTCATGCATGCTGTTATAAGTTACAGGTTTCTAGTGAGCAATTCAGAAGTCCATATGCATTAGCTTATGCTTTATTATAAATAAAGCAACAATTAATAAGGTGGTATATAAAATAAATATATATGCTCCTAAGTCTGTGTGTAAATGTAATGTGAAATCACTTACTTTAATCATTCCTCTTTAACAAATCAAATATATACTTTTCAATACCAATTTATCAAGTAGAGAGAGAAAATAACATTAAACAGAGAGATATACACATTTAAGTTCCATCACAATGTTTCTCTCTTAATAAACTTTTTCAGCACTAAAAACTGTTATCATCAAATAATGCTGAAGTAAGTGGGAAGTCTGGAATTTTGCATGAATCTGTTAGTGAGCAGTCATTATTTAATGTCAGAATGTATATATTATCTATATCTTTCTCCCCAGAAAAAAACTTTTACTTGTATTCCAGCTTTTAAAAAATCATTCTATTAGATTATTTTTCTTGCTATCTAGTTATTACATAACTTTAGAAAATGTATTTTACCTAACTGAGGGGGAAAACATGTTACTTACACTTTTCTTTATTGCCATTGGTATTATGTAAGAAGTCTCCATCAGAACGTGTTGTAGGAAAGTCGTCTTCATCATCTTCTACCACTAAATAAAACATTAAAGAATATTAGTATGAAATGAAATAGACATTAACCAGTTTCTTCTTATGTTGAACTGAGTCAATAATATACTCTTGATTCTGTTAGTAAAAGATCTGTGCATTTTTAGTGGTTTACAAGGTATTTTCAATAAATATGCAACAGAATGTCTTTACATATATTACACTATTTTAAAAACTGTACCCATCCTTTTTTGTGTAAGGTGTAGTTCATATTTTAACATACATATTATTTTGTCCTTTATCATCCCTGTATCTTCCTGCCTATGCTGGGCCATATCAATACACATAATTCTACATGGTCTACAAAGGGCTGAGCAGAACTGTAGCACAGTAACTACATGCAGAGGATACCTTAATTTGTCTCTGAGAGTTCTTAAATGTATCATTTCATACTTTATGCTAAGTATTCTACACACTGAGTTATCAAACTAACAGTGAACAGAAGGGCAAGATTAGAATCTTTAATTTTAATGTTATGTAACTCTTATTTTAAAATCAAACATGTCTTCTGTAATCTCAAAAGTATCTACACCCAAAGAATAAAATCTTACTGAAGAGTGTCTGGGGTGGTAAAGGGGGTTAGGTTAAGATTTATACTAGCAATTCTGGTAAAAAATTGTATATGAAAACACAAAACACCTACAATGTAGTGTTCGATACTATCATTTCAATGACACTTTTAATCAAGAGCACTATTCTGAAAATTTAAATCAGATACAGTTATCACATCAAATTTGATAATTTATGCTATGACAGTACATCTCTACAGAAACCGTAGATAGCAACTCTGATGTACTCTCAAAGTAGAAAACTATGGTTCCCTGCCCATAGTTCACTTTTTACCCAGTGTGTATTCTTAAAATACCAGCATTTCTTCTTTTTTCTTTTTAAAAATTATTTTATTTATGCATACAAGAGCTGGAGTATAGGTCAGAAAAGCAAGGGTAAGAGGATTCATCAGAGACAGAGTGGGGAGTAGAACAAGCGGACTGACTGCTGAGGGGTGCAGCAGGTGAAGAGCTTTGCTGTGCCATGTGAGTTAGCTCCCTGGCAGTGGCTACTGATAGCTTCATAGTCGTTAAGATGTAACACCTTGCACCACCAGGGAGGCCCAAAACTACTGTTATTTCTTATGATAACATTTATAGGGGAAAAAAACCTCTAAGGTCTGAACTGTGTCTCCCTCTGTTCTTCTACCCTCTCCGCTCCCCCACAAATCCTATATTGAAGTTGTAAATCCAGTACCTCATAATGTGACTCCAGTTGGAAACATGGTCTTTATAGAGGTAGTTAGACTAACTACTACAGGTAGTTAGACTATCAGGATGGGCCTTACTCCAGCATGACCCGTGTCCTTATAAAAGAAGAGTGGATGTAGACATAGAACAAAGATGATACATAAGGAGAAGATGGTTGTCTACAACCTAAGAATAAAGACCTAGAACAAATTCTTCCCTCATGGCCTTCAGAAGAAGAAAACCTTGCAGTCTTCAGAATTGTGAGAAAAGTAATTTCTGTTGTTTAAATGACAGTCTGTGGTATTTCATGATGGTAAACCTAATAAACTAATAACATCAGTCTTCCATTGTTGCAATTTACTCAAATGTGTAACAGACAACATTAAAGATATATTTTAAATTATTTTTCAAATCTTCTACTCAATCTGGTTATCGCTGCATCTCGACTTCTACTCTTTATCACCATCAATTTTGTCCTTCAAATGCTATACATTATTGATCTGGATCATTTATAAGACAGGAATCCAACTTTGTATACATCCTATTTTTGCTTAAAGGGCTATCTGCAAGCAAAAGAAAGTGATATGTAATGTTTTGTTTGATAATTACAAATGTTAAAGTGTATCATATGTAAAGAACTTTAAGGCTACGTAATTTAGAGAAAATTAAGCACTTTAAGAGGAATAGACTTCTGCTTCTACTATGGATAGAAAAGAAGGACTGAATTTACCCTCTAGCATGTACATGGAAAATTGGGCAAGACACTGGATATCAGGCAACAAGGGACAGTGATACTTGAGAGTAAGCGGACAGATGATGCAAGCCTTATTACTGGTTCAGTTAACTATTGTGGCAGATCAGAGTAATATGGAACCCAAGAAGTACCCAGTAGACTCTGAGGTAAAGAAATGGAGCTTAAAGTCCAGAGAGAAAAAGGAAAGAGAATTCACAAGGCAGAATACTGGAAAGAAGGGAGCAGAAGAAAACTGTGGAGATTGGCATATTCAACAGCACATTATGAGTGAAGGAGGCACAAAGTTCAGGGAAAGAACCACCTGAAAGAATTTCAGGGAAAATACCCAAAGTCTGCAATGGGCAGTACAAGTAGCTGTTTCTACAAAAATCCTCATAATTCACAGGGAATTGGTTAGAGAATACCAAAGAGTTTTTCCTCAGAAATGGGAAATATAATCTATTTCTTATACTAAATAGGAAACAGTATGGTATTACTATATGATTAATTAAATATGCATACAATAACCACTAAAATAACAAAGAGTTATAACTAAAAAGTAAAAAAAGAAAAAAAAATGGAATTATATAGAAATACTGTATCCCAAAAGGTGGTAGAAAAAAGGAATAAAGAAAAATAAAGATAAAAAAATTTGAACTCAAATCAAACACCAAGATCAAGAAAGGAAACTATGTCAAACAACCTAGTTATACTGGGTATGAATTTAATAATATGTTATAAACAATTCATTTTTGCCTACAGAGCAATTAAAGCAGCACAAAATATTCATTATAAATGTATATGTAACTCCATTATTCATTTTTTCTATGTGATAACAGTCAGAAAAAAGAGGGGAGATAGAAAAGCAAGAAAGTGGTGAAGTGAAGATAAAAGGAGAGGAAGAAGAGAGATTGTGAGTGATTCCAGAGAGAGGATTTGGCATAAATTTAGGCTTATCTAAGACACACCAGGGATAAATTTATTAAACATAATCATGTGAAATGCCTCATATTATCAAGATAAGAGATACTACACTCTTCATTAGAAAAAAATGTAAAACGTATCCGATATGGGCTGGATTAATTAGGATGTATTATAAAGCATACAGATTATATGAACACTGAAAACTGTTACACTGGGGGTATGTCCCTAAAGTGACTATAATTACCTTTATCACTTAAAGACATTACCCTTTAAAATCAAGAGGCTTTAAATCCATTCATTCTCCAAGTAAAAATAGTGGTAATAGCCTAATTAACCTTTATCCCTTTGAAGTTCATCCTTGGAGACAGCATCAGCACAGGCATCAAAGAACTTCTGTAGAGTATCAACTTGTCTACATAGGATATCTCTAAAGGTTTCCATTTCAGCCAATTTCTCACGTAAACTATGGCCTTTCTGTAAAACACAAAAAGGGCAGAATGCAATCCAAGTAAACAAAACTAAAATTACTTAGTCCTATGGTAATTTATTATCTTTCTATGGTCCATATTTTATAACTGAGAGCATGGGGTAGGGTAAACTATCAAATTCAATATGATACACCCAGTAAGACTTGAAATTGACAATTAGTAGACTGAATAATTAGTAGATGATGCTAATCCTGAAGTAAGAGAGCATGAAACCTGACCATTTTCTAATAAAACAGTATTTTCACATTTGACATCGTGTGGGAAAATGAGGAAAAACTTTGAAAGGGGCAAAAATATTACTTAGTGTTCTTTTAAGGGAATAGTGAGTATCAAGTAAGGTGCTGCTGGGTTGTTTACAAGTTTTTGGTTTCATTACATTTAAGTGAATATTGATGAAGGGAAATACACTGGCTATCAAGCTGTGGTTACTGAGCCATTTTATATATAATAGCAAAATTACTTCAGCATTCTTATTATTTAACAAAATAAAATCTCTGACATGTATTCACTTTATACTTATGAGGAAGATTTTACCACTTAGAAATTATTTCATAACATCTTCAAATAAGTTAATTACAGAAAAGTTCTTACAAAAAACTATTGAGTAAGTTCTGCTTATTTTTACTAGACTCTCAATCTATGTTGCTTAACTGAAAACATTCCTAAGCACATACCTTGAATGAAGAGGTGGATGTTGCAGAATAGCCACTTGCTCCAGACACTAGTGACACCATTGAGCCATGTCGACGCAAACTAGATTCAGATCCATATCCAGATTCTGTCTAAAAAAAGAAAGCAAACTACATGAATAAAAATTAAATTAAAAAGTGAATCAAAAGTTTCCCTACAAACTGGTATGGTAAACATAACAATTAATTGTTTCAATTCACTCAGAAATACAGGCAATCCACTGATACAAACAATGCTATCAATCCTTATTTGCCACTTAATTGTCAAAGTTAGTGAATAACATCTCTCCACCGGTGAGGCAAGAGGGGCTGGAATGTGGAAATAACATCAATCCATTTCAGATAATGAAAAAGTTCTGGAGAGGGATAGTGGTGACAGCTGAACAACAATTATTTAATGCCACAGAACTGTATTGTTAAATGTTAAACTGACAAACTTTATGTTAGGCATAATTTAGCATAAGTACAAAAAAAAAGAAAAACTTCTGGTCTATTTCTTTATAGATAAATTATTACTCATTAGGACACAGCTTAACTATCACTGTCTCAATAAACCCTTTTCTATTATATCAATTTAGATTATAATCTACATTGATAATTTGATAATTTACAATCAAAATTTTATATTATTAGAAAGATTCTGGGCCCTCCCTGGTGGCGCAGTGGGCTAAAGCACTCCACTGAGAAGCTAAAGTCACTTCCGCATGAGTTCGATCCCCACCTGCCCCGAGGTGACCACATGGCGTGGCAGACCTCTCCTGACCCGCCCGCTGCTCCCCTCAGCAGTGTATTTCATTGATCTGCCTGTTCTGCTCCCCACTCTGTCTCTGGTGAAGCCTCTCACCGCCCCTGAGCCTCTGGCCTGTACCCCAGTTCTGTATGTACAAATAAATAAGTCTTTAAAAAAAAAAAAAGATTCTGAATACTCATTTGAAGAACATTCAAAACCAATTTTAAATTTAAATCCAAAAGAATACATTTTATTTACTCACTTTATGAGACTTATATAGAGTTCTGACTTGCTCTGTTTAATCACAATATAAACACCACAAAGATTTATTGAAGATTTTTCACTATAAACAAAATCTCAACTTTCTTTTTAGGTTCTACTATTTAAAAACAAGTAATATGTCTTTTTTTTTTAAAGATTTATTTATGCATACAGAACTGGGGTACAGGTCAGAGAGGCAGGGGCGGTGAGAGGATTCACCAGAGACAGGGTCGGGGGCAGAACAGGCTGATCATGGTAGTACACTGCTGAGAGGAACAGCAGGCGTGTCAGAAGAGGTCTGCCATGCCATGTGGGTCACCTCCTGGGTGGGGATCGAACTCGTGATGCAGTAGCTTTAGTTTCTTAGTGCTGTGCTTTAACCTGCTGCGCCACCAAGAAGGGCCCAATACCTATTTTTAACAATGAATTCATAGGACAAATGATTACAGAAATAACTGCTATTGATATTTTAAGTAATGGACAGCAAATGAACATGGAGGGTGAGAATTTGGTGTAACTATATTTCTATCTATCAGGTTTCATTAAAATTCTGAGGTATGGTATGGTGATATATATCTGATAAGTGTGAACTAGCTTACAGTGTTGTAAGCCAGTATAACCTTAATAAAAAATACAATTAAAAACAAATTCCATTATAAGTTACATACATTGTTCCAAGAAAAAAGAAAAAAATATAGTGGCCTTATGAATACCATTCTCATCATTCAATTTAAATAGTAAATGTCCATAACTCTATTTCAGCCAGTTAACTGCACTGAGAAGTATATTAATAATTTAAGTGTTTAACAAATGTAAATGTACACAAACTGATTTCTCAATGTTTAAAAATTTGTCTTTCTGAAAATGCCTATCATTGTGCAAATGATAGGTGATTATGTATAAAATTCTTAATGGTATTACTACAACATATGGAGTAATTTTATGACAGTGACAAAATGGAGTTACCTCAAAACAGTTTGGGGTGTTACACACTAGAAATCAATAACTAAAAGTATTACTTTAGGGCCCTCCTTGTGGCGCAGAGGTTAAAGCACAGCACTAAGAAGCTAAAGCCACTTCAGCATGAGTTCAATCCCCGCCCTGGAGACCCACATGGCGCAGCAGACTCCTGACACACCCGTTGCTCCCCTCAGCAGTGTACTTCGTCGATCTGCCTGTTCTGCTCCCCACTCTGTCTCTAGTGAATCCTCTCACCGCCCCTGTACCTCTGGTCTGTACCCCAGTTCTGTATGCATCAATCAATCAATCATTTTTAAAAAAAGTATTACTTTAAAGAAGTAGCTTCAAATGGTATCATTAACTGCCTTTCTTGTTCACATATGACTTTTAGTTTTAAGTTTCTCTCAAAATTATATCAAAGATACTTAAAAAAAAAAAACTTCTGTGATAAGAGCTAGAAATAACTCCAAAACATAAGTTTATTATTAAAATCATTCTAAAAAGTGGCATTATTGTTGACACATCTACTTTAGCTTCCCAATATGCCCACTTCGAAAGCAACAATACCCCATTCTGAATTTGTAAGATCTGCTTTTGAAGGCAGTGTGGGATAAAGGGAACAAGGATGAAAAAGTATAGAATACTTTATAGTCACAGATGATAGTATTAAATGTTCTTAAAAACTGTTAATATACTTGGGTAGTAAGCCCACTGGTGTATGATATAGGACTATGGGTGTTCTATTCCTATAAATAATATATATTTTTTAAATCAATGTTGACTTATACATTTTTGACATGCTTTCAAAACCTCACTGGCATGATTTGAGAGATAATACTTTAAAGTCACATTAGCTGTTTTTGAATACTACCTACTCGTCCACAAAAAACAAAGTTCAACTTATTTACAATCCCTACACACCAAAATAGCAATTAACACCAAATTCTATCTAAAATTAATAATGCAGAATTCATAGTCACTTCAGGTATATTTTTCTTTTTTAACATACCTGCTTTAAGAACTGTCATGCAAATGGTTTTGCCAAAAAAAAATAACAAAAACAAAAAACTTCTTTTCCAATTTTTATAAGATTTGAGAATTCATATTTATATTCAAATTCATATTCCTGAATATGGCTTTGCACGGAAATAAAATGACATTGATACAATGAAACAGTTACTGAACACATCCTATACAGAACAAATTTACTCTCATATACCTCAGTAATGAGTCCATACTCATGTTTTCTAACACTCATTTTACTAATAAAAAAAGATATAGTGTTTGAGCCACTAGAGGGGGTTACTAGTATTTTCCAAATAGCAGTATACCTGGAAAGCAGATATACACAAAGGTTACTGCTGATCAAGGCACAATAGTAAGCTCTGGGCTAATTCTTTTACCTGTACCTTTACCATTTTGTATCTTTTTTTTTAAAGATTTATTTATTTTTGCATACAGAATTGGGGTACAGGCCAGACATGCAGGGGCGGTGAGAGGATTCACCAGAGACAGAGGGGGAGCAGAACAGGCAGATCGACAAAGTACACTAATGATTGGAGTAGTGGGCGGGTCAGGAGAGGTCTGCCGTGCCATGTGGTCACCTCCGGGGCAGGCGGGGATCAAACTCATGCTGAAGTGGCTTTAGCTTCTTAGTGTTGTGCTTTAACCTGCTGTGCCACTAGGGAGGGCCCATTTTGTATCTTAATATTTAGAAGACATTTCAAAATGTGGTAAATTAAACCATACTGGTCAAAGTAAAAAATGCCTAAGAAGTGATATGAAAAGAAATATCCCTTAAAGTCACAGCTACATTTTAGTCTGATTTAATCAGGTGAGAGATAAACTTACATATTATTATTTTGTAATCTTACATCAGTTATTCCATGTCAAAAGCAGTGGTATAAAATAATAAAAATTATTTTAACAGCACTCAACTTTTGGAAATCTATTATTGCACTAACTATATCCTTTTGGAAATCTATTATTATACTAACTATATCCTTGAATGTCATTTAAGTAGACTAGTCATTGCCTATTTTTTTTAAAATTAAGATATATTTATTTAAGCATACAGAAATGGAGTACAGGCCAAAGGTGCAGGGGTGGTGAAAGGATTCCCACAGAAAGAGTGGGGAACAGAACAGGCAGTTTGATGAAGTACTGCTGAGGGGAGCAGTGGGCAGGTCAGGAGAGGTCTGCCATGCCATGTGGGTCACCTCGGGGCAGGTGATTGAACTCGCACTCAGGTGACTGTGGCTCACTTACAGTGCTGTGCTTTAACCCACTGCACCATCAGGGAGGGCCTATTGCATATTTTTAATCGGTTTTTACATCCTGTTGTTGGGCTGTACAGGTTTATGTATTTTGGATATTAACCTCTTATTTGACAGGCTTTGCAGGCATCTTCTCCCATTCAGTAGGCTGCCTTTTTGTTTTGATGATGGTTTCTTTTACTGTGCAGAAGTTTTCAGTTTGGTTAGTTCGAATTATTCATATTTCCTTTTCTTTCTTTTGCTGGTAGAAATGAATCTACACAGAGATTACTAAGGCCAATGTCAAAAAGCTCATCACCTAAGATTTTTCTGTGGTCTGGCATTGAGAGGAACATCAATGGAAGACATGAATATCATATTAATTCCAGCAAGCCATCTTGGATAAATGTAAAATAATAAAAGCTAATAAATACCTAAGACACTGTGCCCTAGGCAAGATGCTAGTGATTTCAGTGCATTAACTAATTTAATCCTTTTTTAATAGCCTGTGTGAAATGGGTATTATTATTACACTAATTTGTAATATCAGAGTCTCATAGCTCTAAGGAAGACAGTAACCAATTTCAGATTGCAATGTTGATGCAATGTATATTCCTATGCTGCCTCAATACCCAGAACCTGTGCTTCCATGTCTTTCAAATGTCCTTTTTTCCACTGTCATTCTCTAGGTCTAGTCAGGTCACATTAAGATAAATCCTTTAGTTTTTTAAGTGTTATTTTCTT